ATATACATGCACACAAAACATTTATAGACATAAATCAGTCTAAAAATTAAAAAAAGAGTACAAAGAAACCTAGCCTGACTGTTTTAGTTTCAATGTAATTACCAAAATGACAGTTACTTCCCATAACAGTAAGTACTGTGACTTAAAAACAGAAGCCTTAACAACAATCAATTCTCATTATATTCAGAGTTTATGTATCTGTAGATTTGCCTACTGCTCTCTACGAATCCTATTTATGGTCATTCACATAGATGTAGAGCAGTGCAAAACCCTGTCAGCAGGCATCACAGCCCCAACTACAGCAAAACAAGCCAGGATACTCTTTCATGCTTCAGCTCTCACGCCGTAAACCACTGTTCTCTCCAGAAGTCACTCAGGACTGCCAGATTTAGTTTTAAAAAAAGCTGTGATGGATCTTAAAAAAAAGCTAGTCATAGTTTTGTTCAGCTGTTATTACTGCTCCTGGCCATGAGTTCAATTAAATTCACATATAAGTTATCTTCAACAGACACTAAAATCACAAATGTATTTGTGAACTGTCAAGCATGGTAGGATTATAGACAGGAACTTACTCCTGAATTTCTCTTAAAGGCCACAGCTCACTATTCACTGGTGCTTCTGGCAACTTTACAGACAGTAACTACTGCAAATAATGAGAATCAATCATGTGAGTCCAGCGAAGAGAAAGTGACTTCTTTCCAAAATTAAGGTATAGTTTCTGCCTTTCCTCATTTCATACAGGAAATGCTGGAGGGACATGTCTTACAACTAAGGTACATACAGTGCTGTGGGGGGATCTGGGTAAGCCCCTCAAAGTGATAGTCATCCTCCAAAGCAACTCAAAATGACAAACAGGAGGCTTGTGTGAATGCTCATCAGCAGAGGAATGGCACATGTACACCTAATAATTAAGTCACTGTAGGCAGAGAGAAACAAACAGTAGTTTCAAACAGGAGCCAAGTAAAAGGCAGAACACTAACTTTGAATTTTATGTGCTAATATGCCATCTGGCATTTTTTTCACAGCAACAATCTCAAGTAACCAGCAAGAGTATACGTAAAAGGATTCACTACAAAACTGAACTGGGATGAACAATGCAGAATACCTATCACAAAGGAATTAAAACATTTTTACTCGGGACAGTTTTACTGTACTGTCTAGGCTGGTCTTGAATTTCTGGGTTCAAATGATCCTCCTGCTTCAGCTTCCTAAGGAGCTGGGACTAGAGGTACACACCATATTCAGCATGACAGATTGTTCAGGTATAGTCATCCTAACTGATCAACATGAACCCGTACACGATGCAAAGACAAAATATGCTATTTCTCCATTTCTGTTTTCAGGCAGCAGAAACAAATGTCTTAGAGGTGTAATGATTATAACAATTTGCCAAATTGTTTTATTTCTAGAAGATATCATAACATAAATAAAACATACTTTTCTTCTTCCTTCCTCCTTCCGATCAAAAGCACATTGCTGTTTGCACTGTTCACAGGTCTGAGGTGCTCCATATTTTTTTTCTGAATTTGTACAACGCTGACACTTGGTACCAATAAATGCTGCAATTATGTTACAGTACTGACAAGGTTTAGGCTGAAAAATAAACACATTTAATTTAACCGAGATATTTAAACCTTTGTTGCATAAGACACATCCAGGGCTAGTAAAATATTTGAGGGGTTAATAAAGAAAAGTGTTAAGTTAAAAACATTTGTTTCTGCCAAGTACATATTCAAAGACAAATATCATGGGTCTATTCATTCAAATAACGTTTATTGCTACAGTCAGGAAGCTTACTATCCATGCCCAGAAATCTGACCATTGTGAGAAATACGCTCAGGAATTTCATGGCATTTTTATACAATATAAAATTTGCTTATGAGGTTAAACAATTATTCACAGTAAAGTCTCATAAACCTGTAACTTGAGGATATGACCTTGAAGTGATATACAGTAGGCTTAACCATTACATCATTTATGCAATTAAAAAATAATTTTACCATGTATTGGTTGTTGTCACAGTAAACACAAATATCTTTTCAATATTAAAAAATTGTGCAAGCATATTCAATTTAAGTAAAAATAAGCATCCTTGATTTCTTGATCATTCAAGACAGCATGGAGTCGTAAGGCCAGCACTGTGACGAATCATAAATAGCACTGATATGTAACTATCACCAACATATATATTAGTTTTGAACACTTGAATGGTACTGACACATAAAAAGTTCCAGAAATCAGGAGAAAGTCTGATTATGTCAACATTGTAAATAAATATGTTTACATTAAGGAATTTGCTTCATTTATATTTTTAAAAAATAGCTTCACAAACTTCACACTGAAACTCACTATATAGCATGTAAGGCATGTAGTTGTTTTTAAATTTCATTTTCTCATCAAGACTATAGGAAAATTCTTTTATGAACTATTTTGATATGTTCAGATACATAAATACAGAGACTGGACTAGTTTATGAGAAAAGCCATGAAGAATGGTAACTAGCCAATACTAATGACTTGAAATGAAAAATATACTTACTGTTCCAAATTGCTTGACATTTTGAGCACACTTCTTACAAATTGTGTTAGTTTTGCTGAAAAGGAAATTATATTCAGATGATTATACTCATGTAGCTTTCCAGGATAAGTAACATATGCTGACTTATATAAATGATGGAGTCAAAAGATTTGCACATTATTTATTTTTTATTACTTATGTGCATTACAAATGCACATCCTCGTGCATCAGGGCCCACCTCACTTCCCAGTCCACTCTCCTCCACTGTCATGTCCACATACTCAGTAATAAAATTATTTGTTCCCTTGAGCTTACTTTGTGTCCTCTAAAAGAGGGATTTGCTGTTACAAACATCTGTGCTAACCACACTGCTAAAGGCAGTGACTTTAGTCTTAGATGGTGGTTGGTAACACTGTAGCTTTTTCCTCAGGTTAATTAGCAGTTTCCCATTAAAAAAAGTTTAAAAGCAAATGTTTATATTTGATTGTTGGCAGAAGTGTACATTCTCCATCTAGCAATTTATCCCTTATTTTCACATGTAAAACCAGGACTTCTTAAGTCTCTCATACTGTACATAGTAGTTCTTAATTTTAAACTTCAGAAATAAAATCATTTTTCAAAGCACTTTTAACACAAATATTATTACCCCCAGTTATTCCTTATACGAATTTGTAACAATGAAAAACTGCTCAGTATACAAACCTCTCCTGCTGAAATTCTGATCTGCAGTAAGTACATTTTACAATAGGATGTGCAATCCGACATTCCTGTAATAAGATAATACATAAGTCAGTATTTACCTCAGAGACCCGATCTCACTTTTCTGGTAAAAATTAATCAACCTAGTCAAATGCCTGAAACGTGAATAAAACCTGGCTGGCAACGTAAACTGGGTGACTTATCGCATCAGGCGCCAGTCAAGAGTTATAATTCCATGGGATATTTTTGTCCTTAGTGGATGCGGAGACAGAAGGGGTATATGGAACTGATAAAAACTAAGGAAGCTGTCAAGACTGACTTCCAGGGGTGGTTTGCATGTGAAACTACTAGTTATTTTGTACAGTTGCTCACAAACAGCAACCTGGCTTTTATGGGATGGGAGGAGCTCCAAATCAGAGCACTCTGTTCCCAAACCAGTCGCTTCGCTTTCTGGGACAGGGAAGCAGGATGCCATCAGCTCTGCAGCTTCGGGTTCGGGTTTCTAGCAAGAAAGTGCAAACACTGGCCCTGCCTCCCAGTGGAAGGAGAGGGCAGTCCCTGCCAAAGCTGGGGTGAGCGAGTCTGCACCGGACCTCTGCGACACGGTGGGCTGGTGGCCGCTGGGCTCAGCCCCACCCGAGACAGCCAGGCGCGGCCGAGCCAGTCCCAGGCTGCGAGCAGGCGGGACAAGGTCGACTCGGGTCTCGCCCACATAATGCCCGGACCCTGGCGGGGAGCGGTGCGCTGAACGCCCGGCGCCCACCGACCTTGCAGAGCTGTTGGCCCTGCGAGAGCTCCTCGAAGGGGTAGCGCTGCGTGCACTTGGTGCAGGCGTACAGGGCCGACGCCGCCATCCTGCTTTCCGGCTCCTCCGCGCGCGCTCAGGCGGGGCCTCCGGGAACTCGGCTGCCCCGCCCGCGGGCTCTTCTGACGCTGCGGTCCCGGCCTCGCAACTGCCGAGCCCCCTGCGTCTCCCTCCGCCTCCGCCGCCGTCCCGGGACAGACACCTACTGCCACCCGCCCCGCTGCTCCAGCTTAGGCCCGGACCGTGGCGGAGGGAGACGAAGCGGGAGCTAGGCTGTGGATTCCGCTTCCTCCTCGGTCTCGCGTCCCTCTCTATGATTGGCTACAGGGAGCCTCACGTCAGTTGAAAGCTCCGCCCAGTCCCTTGCCTAGGTTAGGCAGGGAGCGCCCACAAAGAGAGAAAGCACCAACCAATAGGAGGCAGCCGCTCTCAGAGCGCGAAATCCGCTTTGAAAAGATCCCGCCCACAAGCCACGGCCAGTCACCGTTCGGCTGGTGCGCTTGAGCCCATTGGGCACAGGTCCACAAAACGCCGCTTTTTTCAGTCCTTGGCTTCCATTGGACCATGTCGCTAAGCCCCTCCTACTCCTGTTTATCATTGGCCGAAAGGTTAGTACTTCACCTGGAGAAGCAATGCTCCCTGGAGTTTATTCCTGGGATTCCTGTGGAGTGTATCAACTTTCCATTCGCCTTTATTCAGCTTTCGTCATCCTCTTCAGTAGGCGCTGAAGGCTCCAGAAGCCCTAGCCTTTGCTTCCTCCTCCAGAACATCCATCCCTTTCCAGACGCTCCCAGAGCCGTCGGTCAACTCACGACGTTGCCGTTCCCGCAGGCTTCGCGGTGCGCTACCTTGTGACGTCACCGAGAGAAGAGGCGGGCTCTCCCCTGCCACCAGAAGTTGTCCTCTTTTCTGATTGGTTACTGGAAAGCGTCTGTCAAGACGCGTTGCCTTTCCCTTGCGTGCTAAGTGTGGCGTCCTTGTGGTTTGCGAGACCGAGGCTCCTATAGGGTTCGCAGCTCGCCCGCCCCTTCCATCGGGGACTTGGATTCGGCTTGCCCCAGGCGGGTAGCTGTCGAATCCGGAGGAGGAGCTAAGGACGGCGGCCCGCGTTGCGCAGGTGGGAAGATGGCGGCAGCCTCGGTCTCGGCGGCTTCTGAGTCTCAGTTTTCGGTAAGGGGCGGCGATCGCGTGGGTTCCAGGTGGGCCTGTACGGCTCTCCGGGTTGCCTCACTTTTCAAGCGGCCCTAACTCTGGCGTCAGCCCTCGTCCCGCAGGATGGCGGGTTGTCCGAGGCCGCGTGTCACTCCCGCAGGCTGCAACTGTGTTTTCTATCCTTTTCTATCCTGCGTTTACTTGTCCACTCAGCCGGCGCCGTGGAGCGTTGTCCCGATCCGGGCTGGTGCACTCTCAGGCCTGCTAAAACAAAGCTCTGTCGGTCACGTGAGCGTAACGGCCCAGCTCGGAAACCCTCTATAACAGGTAGGTGTGCAGGTCTGTAGAGTGACAGCCGCTGAGGCGTCCCTGGTCCCTAGAGTGCATTCTCGCCGTTGCTACAGTGCCTCTCAGTGTCTGTTGCGCGACCCTTGCAGCCGGCGCCCGGACATTCACACTTCCCACGGCATGACTAGGACTATGTGTGGAAAAGTTGCTTTGGAGAAAGGATCGGAGTAAATTAAGCCGACTGGTTTAGTCCCTGGAGTTTTAAGAATGGATTGTGGGGTTCAGTCTTTTGGAAAACGCTCCAGTAAGAACAGATTTAAATGTGAGAAAGCTCGAGGCCCGTTTAGAAATGCTCTTGTGCCTAGCTGACCGTTGGTCCTAAAGTTACAGGGAGGAATTGAATAGAAACCCCACTCTGAAGAAGGAGCAAAGCACTGTACTAATTAGACAATTACTGCGCTGCAGGTTTTGATACCAGAGGAGTCTGGGAGAGATTGGTTAGCAGTATTAGGGAAAATAGAATCTTGAAGAGAAGATGAGCTAGCTGCCTGTTGAAGGAATTTTAAGAGAAGAAAGCACTGCAAGTTTTTTAAGGTATGTGGCAAGACAATAGGTACTTCCTGGATACCAGAGGGCAATTTTGGATACTCGATAATATAGAGGTAGAGTTGATAAAGAATTAGAAAAACAGGTGAAAATTGAATAATGAGGGATGTCAGGAAATTTTCAGGCTAATTTTAACAGCAGATGAGGAAGAGGCCATAGAGATTACCAACACCTTCAGAAAGTCACACTTAGGAATCTCAGTTTCAACTTTCTATGGCTACTGGAATTTGTGATAAGGTCAGAATATTTTAAGGTGGGGTGTACTTTTGTCAAAGATCTAGAGATTAAGGAGAAGAGATGAATCAAGCAATTGGGAGATCAGTTCAGATCAATGAAAGGTAAAGGGAAAACTATCAGAACTAAATGTCAGCTGACACATGAATTATATAAGAGATACAATTGCTTAAACCTGGGAAAGGAGAGCTCTTCTTTGCTCTCAAAACTTAGAAAGTGGAAACTTAGATTGAACTGCACCCATCAAGGCCTTGCCACAGGGATATAGTTAATCCCTGGTCCTTATGGTAGACACAACAGAAATCTAAAGCCTCTTTAGTGGAAAAGTGGATCTTGTGACTCTGTCTGGAATGGAGAACAGAAGAGAAACTGGTTTTTACTCCACCATAGTACATGTGCATAATAGTAATGTTTCAAAAAAAAGGTTTGGAGATGCATTGATAGAAAGGTGCTGTTTTTAGTAGGGTGTCCAGAGAATGCCTTAGTGTCAGGCTTGGGAGCAGACAACTGAAGGGAAGAAAGGAACTTTGCAGGCAGAATAATTGCAGCAGATGAAAATACGAGTATATTGTGGGTGTTTGAAATAAAAAAAAGTTCACATTCCTGAAAACCTGGTAGGGAGACAGTATCAGAAGAAAGTGTCAGGAAACGGGTTAGCCTGTTACACATTATGGGGAAGTTTGTCAGGAAACAAGGGTTAGTCTGTTACGCATTACGGGGAAGTTTTATGAATTATGGTAAGAATTTTGAATTGTACTCCATAGGGTTTTGATTAGATATATTAACTTGAATCAAATTTTTTTAAAGGGTCATTATTGCTAGCAGGCTGTTTGGAAGAGCATACTTAAGAAATGTGAAAAGTAGTTAGTATTTCACATAATTCAAACTAAAATCATAACTATAGCAATGTCTCAGTATAAAAGAAAGAACCCTGAATGATTTTCAGAGAGTAGCTAAGAGGTTAATGAAAATGACTTCTTACCAGGGTTTTATATGAGCAGTTGAGTAACTAGCAGTGCTGTTGGTTTTGGTATGCTGGGAGAGGAGCAGATTTGAGAACTAACCAAGAATTTAGTTATAGCCATGTTACGTTTTAGGTTCCTATTGAGACATCCAAGTAGGTAATGAATAATGTGAGTTGAGTTTTAATAAAAGTGGTTAGAAATCCAGGGAGTTTATGAAAGAGAGGCCTGTGGGATTAAGGGGAAATCCTTGTTGCTTCCTCCACTGAGGGTTTAGGTGAATGATCACAGAAATGTGACCCATGCTTCTGAGATATTGTTGAATTTAGCAGGTAGAGTAATTGGTGGGTTTGATGAGCTGTTTGCTTCTTAGGAATAAGTAAAGAGGGGTGACTTAAAGTAGCAATTGCAAAAATCCTTTTGAAAGATTATTTCACTTAAAATACATTTTGATAGCTTTTATTAATGTGTGCATGATTGGGGGCAGGAGTGCACCTGCCAGTTTGCTTTTGAAGGTCACAGGACAACTTTGGAGTTGTTATCTCCTTCCACCATTAAGTGGGTTCTGGGAAGTAAACTCAGTTCATTAAGCTTGTTCAGCAGACACCTTTATCCACCTGACTAGAGTTTGTTTTTACAAACTCAAAATCAGTCTAGGGTTGAGGAGTCTTGTAGTTCAGGGAAAGGTTTTGTCTTTCCCCTTTGGAGAAGGGGACTACGAGGCACCAGGAGGGGTTTAATTGTAGGAGCTTTGACTTTGAAAAGCCAAGTGGAGACAGACAAGTTACATGCTGGTTTGCTGCTTGTATTGGAAGAGGGAAGGGCTAGTTGATGAGTTTTCTATTTAGAACTAGTTATTTTTTATGTTCAAGTGATCACATAAGTTTTTCTGCTTCTTTTTTGAATTATAACAAAATCACTTAGCTTAGTTTGAATGTTAAATGGTGTAATTCTAGCTGTTTCTAGCTAACCAATAAAAACACAATTTTCTCTGTTAGTTATATGTAAGACAATTCATAATACCATTGACCATAGTTTAATATTTTAAGAAGTGAAAACTTAACTGTTTTTCAGGTTACCTTCAAAACAAATTTTTATTCTCATACAGGTATTTGGATAGTTCTGCTTATTCCTGGACATGGTTTATTTTTGTGAATACCCTTCATTCTTTTGTACCTACACAGACTGCACTAATAGAAGATTGAAAATCCTAATTTTTTATGACATTCTGAAAAGTGCAAATTAGTATGTGAGAACTCTGAACAGCTGGCAGACATCTTGTCTTCTACCTTGGCTCCTAAAATCTCCATTATTTCCCTCTTTTTCTAAATGTCTAACATTATAAACTCACCAAAATTCCAGTTAACATTCAGAAGCGTACTATGGTAAATTTATATCATGTAGAACATAATGTCAAATTTGACAGATTCATGACAGATGATGTATGTGGAGAAATAGTTTTATATGAGAATATCTGATAAGCCTGAATATTTTACAATTGTTTACCCTTTTGAGGAACTAAATATAAATTATTTAAGAAAAATAAATTCTTTAAGAAAAAAACATGCTGGCATCTGTGGGCTATGCTGCCACAAGAGGACCATGCTTGGGTCCACAGTTGGTGGGGGGGGGGCGCCTTGAACCTAATGTCATGCAGATGTTAAAGTTGAGGGCCATTTAAATGTCAGTGTTCTATGCTGCTGCCTGAAGCCCATACTGCCAACAGGTGCCATATTGATATGACTGGCTTGTACAGCCACCTGAGGCCATGTCTAGGTTACTAGTTCCACTGCTGCTGGGGGACTTGGTAGATGTCCATGGACTGTGTGTTACTACTGAGGGGCATACAGATGTCTGTGATCTGTGCTGCTGCCTAAAGCCATGTCGATGATGTGTGTGGGCTGGGTTGTGCCAGGGACTATATGGGCCTCTGTGGCCCTTCTTGGCCTGTGCTGCAGCTGAGGGTTATGGTGTCTGTGGCCTGTGCTTTGTCAGGTGGCCATGATGTCTTTGTACTGTCACTGGAGACCATGCTGAGGTCCTTGGCATGTGCAGATGCTGGAAACCTTGATGATATTCATGGTTCATGCTCTTGCTAGAAGCCATGTAGAAGTTTATGATCTGTGCTCATGCTGACACTACAAGGATGGAAGGTTCAATTTGTAGTGGTATTGACAACTACGGATGCACAGTTGAGAAAGGGGGGAAGGCTTCCAAAACAAACCCCCTTTCCCTCCCCCTCCCCAAAGTAACAGCCTAAACAAGAAGTAATTGAAGAAATTGTAGCTCTCCACAATTGATGGCTTTTGGCAGGGGTGCAGGTGGAGACTCAGTTTTCTTTAAGGGTCTGGCCACTGGGAATTTGACCATACTCCAATGAATCTATATGGACAATAGTTTTTTTGGGGTGGAGTGGGCAAGGGTAGGGGTTGGGTGTAGGAGGACTGGGAAGTGAGAATGATGGGAGTGCATGCTGTGAAATTCCAAAATAATCGATACAAATATTGTGTTCTTTATCGAGGATAGAGTAGTTCAGCAATTTGTATCTGTTTCTGATCTGAACAAAGATTTAACTTGCCTAAATATTTGTATTTAGGCTGTATGATCATGTATAAATAGGTAAACATTTAACCCTAGAAACTATATCTCTTGACAATCAATAGTGTTTGAGTTCTTAGTCATTAGTATTTGGTTTAAATGTTTGGAAGGTAATTACAGTATTTTGTTTTTCAGAGCGTTCTGGCTGAACCATCAAAGTCTAGTGGAAATATGGTTTACCATTCTTCATCTCCATATGTATTATATCCACCTGATAAGCCTTTCCTTAACAGTGATCTCAGACGCTCCCCAAATAAGCCCACATTTGCCTATCCGGAAAGCAACAGCAGAGGTAATCAAGTGTAACAAAGTAAATGCTATTTGTTCACTCATTAGTTGAAACTTCTTAAATATGACATCTGTTGTTTTTATATTAGAACAGTATAAGTTTTTCCCTTTATATTTGAGAATTTATTGTGCTTTTCATAAGACTGCTGAACATTATCATCAAATCATGGAACCCAAAATTGGCCCAGGGAGACACCATCACTTTGAGTCACTTATCACTAGTCTGTCATCACCTAAATCAGTCAGGAACCAAAGTCTCAAAGTCTCAGGTAGGGGCCAGAGAGATGGCTCAGTAGTTAAGAGCACTAGCTGTTCTTTAAGAGGACCTGAGTTCAGTTCTCAGCACTCACTTGGCAATTCACAACTGTTTATAACTCTAGTCCCAAGGAATCTGGCCCTAGTTTTATGCATAGGGTACACCGATATATATGCGCAAAACATCCATACCCATTAAATAAATACCTTTGTAAAAAGTAAGGATCATGTTGTAGCCATCACTACTTGGACTCTGAATTATATTTTTCTAAAGAAGACAGGATGTATTATTGTGGGGGTGGGAGGAGGTCAAGTCCTGGAAGAGTGTGATAGGAAGTGGTAAATATGATCTAAAAGGTGTCAAAGAGTAAATAAAACCAATACTTTATTTTTTAAGCCAGGAACTTTGGCATGTTTCTATTCCCAGTGCTGTGTGGCAGAGGCAGATAGCTAAATCTCTGGAGCTCATTGTCCAGCCAACATAGCTTTAATCAGTGAGCCTCAGTTGTGAAAGACATTGACTGAACTCTTAACATGTGTTACTTGAGTATAGTAGCCAAGTGCATATTTGACCTCTATGTGTATATATATATCTCCTTGTGTGTCCATACAACAAAAAGACTGAGACATCTGTTGTGTGCTTGTTGCTGGGGATACATGAACAAATAAATGCTTGCCTTACAGCGGTATCAACAATAGACCAAAGAGATATGTCTTAGGGTTTCCATTGCTGTAAAGTGACACCATGACCAAGGCGACTGTTGCCTAAAGGACAACATTTAATTGGGGCTAGCTTTCGGTTCTGAGGTTTGGTCCATTATCATCATAACAGGAAACATGGCAGTGTCTAGGCAGATATGGCACTGGAGGAGCTGTTTATATACTTGGCCAAGGGAGTGGCACTGGCCTAGTTTAGGCTTCTGAAACGTCAAAGCCCACCCCTAGTGACATTTTCTTTAACAAGGCTATATCTATCCCAACATGTAGTACCATTCTCTGTTGACCTATAAGCCCATGGGAGCTTTTCTTACTCAAATCACCTTAAGACAGCTATGAATTTATGTATAATTAGCCAAGGTTTTTTGTTTTGTTTTTAACAGTTAAAACTCTGTGATGTGTTTTAACACAGTGATAGTTTTTGTTTAATTTTTACTTGAGTAACTAGTAGAACCTTTAAAGAATTCAAATGATGCCTTGAAATGACTTTAAATAGGAAATGCTTCATTAATACAGAGTGGTCTGCTGCTTGACTTGCATCAGTCTTCAGAAAGTTTCTTTTCAGAGCTGGGCTCTCTGGATCACACTTCTAACCCAGTGTTTGGAAGGTTCAGGTAGGATTACTGTGATTTTTTTTTTTTTTCAGGTCCTCCTGGGGCACAGAGTAAGAATCTGTCACAACAAGATTTTTTTTTTTTTGGTTAACTTCTCTGTATGCATTGCTAACTTAAGGTGTGATGTGCTTTTTATATTTGGCAGCCATATTTTCTGCTCTTAAGAATCTTCAAGATAAGATTCGACGCCTTGAGTTGGAAAGGATTCAGGCAGAAGAAAGTGTGAAAACCTTGTCCAGGGAAACAATTGAATATAAGAAAGTGTTGGATGAACAGATACAAGAGAGAGAGAATTCAAAGAACGAAGAATCAAAGCACAATCAAGGTGTGTTTAATTATAAAGGAAACTAAACTCTATCCAAGTATTGTAAAGTTATTTCAAAATTCCACATTGATATTTTGTAATGGTTACTACCTTTAGCCATTAAAGAATTACATCATAATCGGGTGTATTGTGAGGAACAAGTGACATCGTTCATATCCTTACTGCCAGTGTGTGTGGCATATTTGACTCCCGAAAGGAAGAACCTAAGTCTTCCAGAAAAGTTTCTAGGAGTATTGAAAGGACAGAGACTAGAGGCTTGGGAGGGCTGCTGTTTTGTTTTGCGGTACTCTGGCACACTGAGCAAGCACTCTACCATGAACCTTACCTATGCCCCTTGAATTTACTGCAAGTCCAGTTCCTGCTTCCAAGCTGTTGGGACAAGTCTGTGTGTTAGCTAATTACTACTTTTTTGTATGTATTCATTTTAGAACTGGCATCCCAGTTGGTAGCTGCAGAAAATAAATGTAATCTTTTAGAAAAACAATTGGAATACATGCGAAATATGATAAAGCATGCAGAGATGGAGAGAACATCTGTCTTAGAAAAGCAGGTATGGATGAAATCAGGAGTGGTGACAGATGACCAGCAGACCCGCAGGCCTGATGGCATGTTATTCTAACACATGCTAGAAGTTCTTGGGCTCTGTGGAATAGATCTTGGCTTGATTGGCTGTATTTATTATGATTCTTGTACTTAGTAGACTTGTGCTTACATTTGAAAGATAATCATGTTAATGTATTGGAGTCTGCATTATTGAATCAAATAACCATATGTACCACTGAAATCCACAGTTCTTTGTAAAATTCCTTGCAATTAAATAAAATACCTTGTAAGTAATTTGGTTATTGAAACAGGATCTCATATAGCCTAGGCTGGCTCATTTATGTTGTCCAGGGATAACCTGGCCCTTCTGAACTTTCTGACTCCTCTAAAGTGCTAAGATTATAGATATACACCACTGTACATGGTGTATGTAGTGCTATGGATGACACCCCAAAGCTTCTCTGGTGCTAGGTAACCAAGCACTCTACCAAATGACCTGTGTGCCCAATTACTACACTTGTTACTTTATTTTCTTTTTGTTTTTTTGTTTTTGTTTTTTTCAAGACAGGGTTTCTCTGTGTATCTCTGGCTGTCCTGGAACTCACTCTGTAGACCAGGCTGGCCTCGAACTCAGAAATCTGCCTGCCTCTGCCTCCCAAGTGCTGGGATTAAAGGTGTGCGCCACGCCACCACGGCCTGGCCTACTTGTTACATTTTAACAAAATACTTTTCTTCTTTTGCATCAAAGTCTTTGTCTTTAAGTAACTTGCCACATTTGTAGAGGACAGTTACAACATCAGTGTCCATTATATTTTTTAAACATCCTTTCCATATGAACAATTTAGCTTCACTATGCAAAGTTTGATTAGAAATTTCTCTTGTATAGTTCCCCACTGTCATGAATATGTGGAGAAATGGCATATTCAGGTTCTTAGTGTTGGGCTTTTACATATATATCCATTTAGTGTATTTGTCCATTTATTTTGATTTGTTTTTTTTTTTTCTGAGACTATCATTCCTTAAGTATATGGGCAGTCTTTCCAAATCTGACCCTAAGTTTAAAGGAAAAAAGAATATATTTTGCATTCAAAGGAAATAAATGCATATAAGTTCTCATATCTATTAAGAGGTTACTTAATAGGACCCCACTGACTAGAAGTATTTGTGTGTTTGCACAGTCTGTATCTAGTAAATTCTCCTTATTCTAGGATATAAGGATATTTTCCCTATATAAAACCACATACTAGGTAAAACACTGTATGTTGAGAATAATATTCCAATGTTGATGTAATAGCTTGGTGGATAAAGGTATTTGCAGTGAGGCCTGAAAAGCAAATTTGATCCCTTAGACCCACATGGCAAAAAGAGGGAACCAGCTTGTATATGATATCCTCTGACCTTCAAAGGTGTGTTGTGCCACACAGACAAAATGAGACATGGAGATCACTGATACCCTGGAGATGTTAGTGTTCTGTTCCTAGAACATCTTTCCATACCAGCAAGTCTGTGAAAGGATAGGCAAATTACATATAGTATAATGTTGGCTATGTACAGTCTATAGCTTTCTGATTATCATATTATATTGTATCTTGATGCTGTTTCTCAGGTTTCACTAGAAAGAGAACGGCAGCACGATCAAACCCATGTTCAGAGCCAGCTGGAAAAACTGGATATTCTTGAACAGGAGTACAACAAACTCACCGCAATGCAGGCCCTTGCAGAAGTCAGTGAACATGACTTTACCTACTGATGTAGAATGCTGTGGCTGTCACTTTTTTCATAAACATGGGTATTTATAATGTAAAGGTCTTTCATATATATATACATATATAATCTTTAAAAAGAAAAAAATTAATTTGAAAAGGAATGTTGACATTCTGCAATCTTGGTGGCTGAGCATAAGATAGTTGGGTTTTGGTTTTTATTTATTTATTTTGGAAAACTGAAAGGTGAAGTGTTTTTGATACTCTGGCATCATGTAAATTTTTTTCTGAACTAATTTTATTTCTGTAATTTACTCTGGAGATATTTAATACTACAGAGTGAGGATCTAGATTTGTCTTTATGTAGTCTTTACCTTTATACAACCTGTGTTCTCCCTCATTAATTACTGTTAGTTGATCTAGTAGGACACTATTAGGAGAGGATCATGGATATTATCAAGGCCTGGACCACTAGTATCATGAACTAACATGCTTGTTTTAACTGTCCTTAAAAATTCTACAAAAAGATACTTTTAACCATTACTGTTTGATATTGTTATTACTAGAAAAAAATGCAAGAGTTGGAGTCCAAACTCCGTGAAGAAGAGCAGGAAAGGAAGCGTATGCAGGCTCGGGCAGCAGAGGTGAGTGGGAGGATAGGCAGGTGTTTTAATGGTGAACAGTTACACACTAGCATGGCAGATTTATATGGAGACCTCAGATAGCTTAGTAATGGAAATTAGGAATGTAATTTACAAAGTAAAATTTGAGCAGTTCTTTTGATGTTTCGAATTACAGAGTCTGAATTAGTATTTTAAAAACCTTTGAGTTTGGAGCTGGAAGTATTGCAGAGGACTAGAACATTTTGTTGTCTTCACAACGGACCTGATTCCAATTCTGAGCAACCCACATGTGGCTCACAATCATCTTCAGCTCCAGTTCCATAGGGTCTTCCGCTCTCTAACCCCTGGCCACCAGGCATTTGTACATACATAAGTGCAGGCAAAACATCCATAAATGTAAATTTAAAAAATACTTGTGAGGTAAAAACAGGTCAGACACAATACTATTCATGTTAAGCTAAGGTATGATGAGCTACTACCAGATCATTCAGTATCCAGTATAAAAGTATGTCTTGGGTTGGAGGTAAAGTTGAATGCCTGGCATTCATTCATAAGACACTTGGTTCAGTCCTCAGTACTACAGCAACAAAACTGCCCTTCCCTTGAGAATGTTAACATACTAGGACAGAAATGTTAAGCTAGTGGCCTAACTCTACTCTCTCCTAGTTTTGAATTCTGTGGTCAGCCACTGGAGGATTGTGTAGATTCAAAGGATCAGTTTATGTATTTCAACCAGAACTGCATTATCAAAGAATAATAAAGTACTGCATAGACTTTGTAAGATAAAGTTTTATGATTTAGCTAGGGACTTTTCTCTGATTATTTGCTCAGATATCTTCCAGATAGTTTCTCGTTTCCAACTTCTTTAAGACTATTACAGTATATGTAACTTTTATCATAGAAACCCAAGAAGCAGGTTCTGATCTCAGAAGTTACTGGTAGAACCCTTATAGTTGAGTCTGTGACACTGTGTCTAGGGTCTCACATTCTCATAGATGCCATTGTAGGAATAGAAACGTTGCAGTTTTTTTTTTCTTCTAGTGCTTCTTTGAGTTATTCTTTTTTATTAAAACTGATATGATTGGTAGATTTACTCTCTGTGTACTTGTTAATGGCCATTTAACCAGTTTTGATTTTTAGAGAATTTTTTCCAACTTTAGGGAAAACTATTTTACTGTGTCTCTGTTCCTTATATGTAACTGTGCATATGTATGGGTTATTCTTTATTATATTGTAGTATATAGCTGTTGTATGCCAAATAGAAATTTTCACAGATTCATTGATTGATGAATTGTTAACAGTTTGAGTTCTGATGGTGAATGCCATGGTAGTTGAATGCAGAAGCATTTCTATATCTTGTTGGTTCTGATTTGTATAATCCCAAACAGATTATTTAACCATGTAGAGCTTGGGTTTTATGGTGCTAGGGAACTCAAACAAGAAATGATAATAAAAGCACTTTAAAATTCAGGCATTCGTATAAAAAATCAGCTAGGAAAACTAGATACACAAGGTAGAATCAAAAGGTGGTTTTTAAGTGGTTTCTGCTGACACTTGTTGACATTGCAAGGATGATTTCCTGTGGCGTTATGACTAGTATAAACTATTACTAAAGTATGTCCAAGGATGTCATACTTCTGAGAATGGAGAGCCTGACATGCCATTGCAGTGAAGACCCTGTACTAAGAGTGCATGAGATGGGGAAGGAATGTTCTCTGTGTTCTATGTGTTTCATTCATTACTTCTGCTGTTTCTTAAAGTTCAATTATGGGGAACGTTTCCTCACATGGAAATTGTAAACTCTTTAGAGGAAAAATCTGGCGATTAGAATTTATACCAATCCCCAGGCTTTTGGGTATACAGAGAGACAAAATAGCTTCTTTTATGGATTTTTGGAGAGCGGGGCTATTGAAAGATAGTTTAGAGGAAGTTGTGGCTTTTCCCCCCAAGATTTATTTTATGTATATGGGAGTTTTGCCTGTGTGTTCTGTATATATGCCATATGTGTATAATGCTCGAAGAGGGCAGAATAGGGTGCTGGATCCTCTTCAACCTGGGATTAAATGGTTAAAAGCTGCCATGTGGGTAGGTGCTGAGAACATTTTCTCTGGTGGGAACAGCCAGAAAGTGCTCTTAAGCCCAGCAGTGTCTCCAGTTCAGAAAAGTACAACTTTAAAAAAAAAACAAAAAACAAAAAAAAGTGTAGAATTTTTGCTAAAAGGGTAACAATTGCCGAAACACTTACTGCTGCTCTTGAACTTTAAACTGGAAGGGATCTGTTTTGCTTTTCAGTTGCTTTGGGTCTGCTTTTACAGTAATCATGTTTTTCAAAAGAGAACATAGCCTGCTGTCAGTTTGGAGGTATATACATTCCATTTAATTTCTGAACTAGAATTTTCAGACTACCTACCAGTAGTGAACAGTACTTCCAGGCAGTACACAGCCATCTGTGGCTCAGCAGTTCATGTAAATGAGAGACTGAAGACATACAGTGTAGCCTTGCTGTCTCTTTCATTGAGATGATCACTGCTGTATTGGACAGACTTACACGATATCTCAGATGTGAATTGTAACTTTTTTTTACATCATTAACTATGTTTTTTTCCTAGTTACAGAGTGGTCTAGAAGCAAATAGACTTATTTTTGAAGATAAGACTACTTCATGTGTTCCAACCACCACTAGAAAAATAAAAAAAAAGAAGTCAAAACCACCAGAAAAGGTAGGAAAACCGTACCAGTCAGAGTACCAATTTTGTGTAATAATTTGTGTAAAAAAATATCCTTGGGAGGTGACTCTCATTCTTAGTTTCTTTGTTTAAAGGAAGATAAGATTTACTCATGAATTCTTACCTTGGTTGTGAGGACCTATATGAAAATTGGGAACTATAGAAGATCATAAAAATACTGGAAATATTCAGCCTGTGTTCATTACCTTCAACCACCTTTCCTCTTGTTCCTCTACTTCCATCTGACGTCTGCTTTGCTAGTGTTCCCTCCGACTTCCTTACCCTTCTAGTAATACTAGGTTGTTATACGATCCCAATATCCACAAGTGTGCTTTGAATATGTAATGTCCCCCATTAAATCACTGCAAAGTGGCCCTTGAAGTTCTTAGCCTGACCCACTTCCTGTCCTCTGTCTTCCTGACCTTTGGTACAGTGTGATGAATACTCACTCACCCCCAGACCTATGGTTGCTATGATTTTTCCATAGTGAGTTGTATCTTAAACTGTGGGCCATGTAAGTCCCTCCTTCTTAAGTAGCTTCTTGAAGCCTGGTTTCTGCAGGAAAAAGTGAGTGGTACAAGAAGATACCTAGTAGTTCCACAGTGAGCTGGAATCTTGGATTAGTTCACCAAAATAAAATAAAATGATTTTCTTTTTTCTCCATCCAGAAAGGTTCTGGGAACTATTTTGGTGCACAGCCACATTACAGATTGTGCTTAGGTGATATGCCTTTTGTTGCTGGAACGGTGAGTTGTAGCTATTGATTTTTATGTTTGAATTATTTTCACCGTCCTTTGCTTTTTTATTTCTTTTTATGTATATGAGTGTTTTGCCTGTCTCTCCCTGTGTTTATCGTCTGTGTTTTAGTGCTCACGGGGTCCAGAAGATGGTGTTGGGTCCCCTGGGACTAGAGTTACAGCTTGGAGAGTAACTTACCATGTGGGTGCTGGGAATTGAACTTGGAATCCCATTGAAAGAGCAGCCAGTGCTCTTAACTGTTGAGCCATCTCTTCAGACCTTATTTCAAGTCTTCAGAACACATTTTAGGGGACATGAACTAAAAGAAAAATCCTGCATTGGCCTTGGAGTGCTGGATTATAGATGTGAGCCACCATATGTGGTTCTAGAAAAACCTTCATGTAGAAGGCACAACCTTAGGTTTTTTTCTTGAGTCTTTGTATAAGCCTCAAGTATGGTTGTGAAGTTATTTTTTATACAAACTTTTGTGTGTTTATTACACACTTTCAGTGTGAGGAAATGGGGAGTTAGATGGCCCCTGTTCATGTGAACGTCAGGGTACAACTTAAAGGGAGCTATCTCTTTCTACCATGGGTTCTGTAGAAAGAACTCTAGTCACAGGCTTGTACAGCAGCCATCACGGTGTCCCTACAGAGGATGTTTAAATCTGTAATAATACATTTACCTGTTCCACTTGACAGTCACTCCTTTGTATTTGTCCATACAATCCTGTCTAGAGTCCCTTCCACCCATTGTTGTCTTGGCTAATTGTCATTGAAGCCTTTAATCACAAAGGACAAGACAAGGCTCTTTAACTCTTTTTGAAGTTGTTTTATATATTCTTTAGAAGTGTTAATCTAAAAGTTTAAGGAAACAATTGCTTAGTTGAGCTTCTCTATCAATTTTGAAGAACCTCTTTTACATTTACTTATGGATACACAGCTCTGCCTATGCAATACAATAAAAATGAGTCACTAGAAAAGTAAGACTATAAGCCCAAATATTTCATTACTAGACTCAACTGACATAAGATTACATTATATATCAGAAAACTAATGGGAACAAAACTTTTCAAAACCTGTTAATACACACTGGCCATTAGAGAGAGGGAAAGAGGGAGGGAGGGAGGGAGGGAGGGAGGGAGAGAGAGAAAGAAAGAGAAGGAGGGAGGGAGGGAGGGAGGGAGGGAGGGAGGGAGGGAAGAGAGAGGAGGAGAGAGGAGACAGAGAAGAGAGCGAGTGTTCTGATTGTCATGAGCCACCTTTTCATTCCTGGGATCACTCATTTGAGTCTGGTGTATATGATTCTTTTCCTACAGCAACCAGTCAAGGCAAATTAAACTAAGCCCAGAAACATTTTTTATTGAATATTTTATTTATTTACATTTTAGATGTTATCCCTTCTCCATTCCCCCTTCCCCCAAGAAACCCCATCCCATCATTTTTAAGCAACAAGCACATCAGATCTTAAGTTATTTCCCCAAGCCTGCATTTTAAGCAAGTTATATGCTGGTGACTTATGAAGCTAAACTTGCCTAGCCAACTATTAAAATTGTTATTTCCTACTGGAAACAAGTTCAAGAAAGCTATTAGGTTTTATCTTGTTTTTATGTTGTGGCAGGTAAACGTTAGTGCTTCCTACTATAAGGAAGCTGAGGCAGGACGACACAGTTAAAGCTAGTGAGAGAGAGAACAGAGCTACAGTAGGGGAGACCACGTGCCAGGCAGTGGTGGTGCACACCAGAACCCCAGCAGTTAGGAGGCAGGGGCAGGCAGATTTCCACATTTGAGGTCAGCCTGGTCTACATAGTGAGTTCCAGGACAGCCATGGCTACACACACACAGAGAAACCCTGTCTAGAAAAAAAACAACAACAAAAAAAAAACTATAAGAATCCATTAAGAGTCTAGGATAGGGTTCTCAACCCCTTTGGGAGTCAAATGACCCTTTCACAGGGGTCACCTAATACCATCAGAAAACAGACTATTACATCATGATCATATCTGTTACAAAATTGTAGTTACAAAGTAGCTACAAAATCAATTTATAGATGGGGGTCACCATAATATGAACTATATTAAAGGGTCACAGCATTAGGAAGGTTGAGAGTCACTGCTCTAGGACCTAGACAAAGAGTTGAGTAGGTAGAACAGACAAGCAGACACATAAAGTATATCGTGATAAACACAGTGATAGACAAATTAGAAATTGTCAGTGGGCTGAGAAGTGGAAGAGTTAACCAGCCAGGCCTTTAGAAATGGTATATCTGAACTAGGCTTTTAAGGCTGGTTATGAAAGTTTCTTCACCAAAGAAATGTCATCTGCAAATACAGTTTACTCATAGAATAAGTCAAGAGACTGTAGAAAGTGAAGCAGAAAATATGGCTGTGCTCGAGTTACAGAGCCATTTTCTCCATCCTAGTGTTGAGCTGATTAGGAGTACATCACAGGGTTTGGGGTAGAATGATAGGGTGGAGCCAGGAACAGGAAGATGAGGCAAGGCCTTCTGAGTTTTTTGTTTGATTTTAGATGTGTTCTTGAACCTCACTGTAGCACAGGATGAATAATTTCTGGTCCTCCTGCCTTTGCCCCTCAAGTGCTGGAATTACAGATGTGCAACACCACAACCAACTGAGATGATGCTAGGGGCCAAAGAAGGGCCTCTTACATGCTACTTAAGTACCTCCCAACTGAGCTACATCCCCAGCAGGGTGTTCTTTACAACCTGAAGACATTAGTACATCAGCTAAGTGTTTGATACAGGTGGATGGGATGGCTGGTTGCTAATTTACCACAGTATAGAACATTATGCTGTAGGATTTAGAGGAGATGTACTCTTACTCAGGTTAAGAACTAGAACATGAGAATCAAGGACATTGTTTGCTTGATTTCCTTTCTCTTTAGTCCACGAGTCCCAGCCATGCCGTGGTAGCCAATGTTCAGCATGTCTTGCATCTGATGAAACACCACAGTAAAGCCCTGTGCAATGATCGAGTTGTTAACAGTGTTCCCTTGGCAAAGCAAGCTTGTTCACGAGGTAGTAAGAGTAAGAAGTCAGTGACGCCTCCTTCCAGCAGTGTTAATGAAGAACTTTCGGATGTCTTACAGACCTTACAGGATGAATTTGGGCAAATGAGCTTGTGAGTTTTGACTTTTTAAATTTAAAATTACGTTTAGTTCCAAAATCTCATTTTTTAGCTGCTTGGATTTATTAATCCTAATTTTTATTCACTAATGTTGAGCATAACAATAGCCCACTGGCTGACAGTTAAACAAACCTACCTGTCATTGCTAAAACCTCCCTTTCTAATTGTTAGATGCCGAATGCCAAGGCTTAGGTAAAAGCTTAGTAGTATTGAGGGTTAGCCAAATATAACTAAAGAGTTAGGATAGTGTTTGAAAACCAGTGTACTGGAGAATTTGCTTTATAAGTAACGCTGACGGGAGAAGCAGAAAAGCAGATGAAAGTTTATATTAGCCTGCAACCTTGGTTGGACCCAGATTTGTCTGGAATTAGGAATACTTGCATGTATCTTCATTTTATAAACATTTGTGTGTATATATATATATATATATATATCTCACATGTGTGCAGGTGCCCAAAGGAGGCCAGAAGGAGGGCATCAGAGCCCCTGGAGCTGAAGTCACAGGTGGTTATGAGCCACCTATATATAATGTCTTTGCTGGGAACTGAACTCATGTTCCCTTGAACAGCAGCAGTTTGTTAAAAGGGGTCATTTTTTTAAGAGTGGTGAATCCCATAGTGAAATATAAAGGATATACCTGTTAAAAATGAGGAATTTAAGGTAGCCTCACTTGCGTTTTGTATGCAGTGATCATCAGCAGCTTACTAAACTCATACAGGAATCACCCAGTGTGGAACTGAAAGACAACCTGGAGTGTGAATTGGAGGCATTAGTGGGAAGAATGGAAGCAAAGGCCAACCAGATAACTAAAGTTCGAAAATACCAAGCCCAGGTAACTCCTGTCCTTCTGTCATTTTTCCCCCTTTCATATATATTAATTGATGATGCTAAGCTGTTTCTGAGGATTTTTTTAAGTCTGTGTTAAGTGGTTTAGTAAAGAAGTGTTAGTTCTTTCTTAGGTTTCATGAGATGTGTCTTTACTATGTTTAATATCTTCAGCTTTATGAACAAATTTTAGTTTGACTAAATTGTCTTAAAATATAGCTAGAATTTTCAGTTTTCAAAGTCAGATTAAATATGTAAAGAAAAAAGTATGTTTGCTCATACTAAATGACTGAAAGTAAAAGGTTTACTCATATTTAATAAGCCTACTTGGGGCTATCATCCAGAGAACTAGACCATGCATTTGCGATTACTGTGAAGTAGAGGTAGGACAAGAGTGGAGTCCCGCTCCTGAGCTGACATGAGTTGGAGTTTGGGGAGAAATGGGCAAATTTGAAGTAGGTTTTATAAGTAAGAATACCTCTCAAGCTTCCAAATGCTGTATGATGTGAAACGACTGTTTCATTTGGCACAAAACTAAGTATATTGAGATATCATCTCGCTTAATTTCCTTAAAACCCATTTTAAGGGTGAAGTGACTGGGGTCATATTTCTGGGAGATATGGCTGCATCTCGGTGAATGAAATAACCTGCCCAAAGAAATCCTGACTGTGGTTAATGTTGGAGCTGGACTGCCACCTGACTAGCAGCTCTACTCCAGAGTCTACAGTCTAGTCAAGCAGGGAGCACCCTAAGTATTAGAAGCCTGCCCCTCTCTCCTTTAGGAGAATAATATTATAATATTTATATAACACTTATTTACCTGGTTGTGTATTTTACATAAATGACCTTTAATTGCTGCAGATTTATGTGCTTTAAAAAAAAAACCTACCTAGAATCTAACACTTGAGTGTTAGAGGAATATTATTTAAGTTAATGGTGTACAGGTTGAGGCAGGAGAATCAAGAGTTTAAGACTGAATATAGCAAGACCCTGTATCAAAAGCAAAGCTAAAAGAAAATGTTTTTATTGAATTCATTTTTTCCCTGCTTTGATTGTTCAGCTGGAAAAACAAAACACAGATAAGCAGAAGAAGGAATTAAAAGTTAACAAAAAGACTCTTGATGAAGAAGGATACAGCAGCGGTCGTTCATCTGGAGTCACAAGGACCACAAGTAAGAAGGATCTGACCAAACAGAGACCCGGAGAAAAAAGCAGGAAAAATCTTCAGTTACTGAAGGACATGCAAACCATACAGAATTCATTGCAAAGCAGTAATCTGTGTTGGGATTACTGACACCAGGTCATAAATGATGTACCTTACTGGTCATAAATGATGTACTTACTGGACAATGAGCGGACTTTCCAGGTCTCATGCTTGCTAAGCTGCCATTACTGGCAGGTGTTAGGGCCAAGCTTCATTACTGTCTGTTGTGCTGTGCAGCATAACTGAATGGAGACGGAGGTCTACAGCAGAGAGCCCACTGTGTCTTTGAATTTGCTGTACTCATACACTGCACTTTGTAAACAAATGACCAGTTTTTTACTTGTGGATGTGTTTTTTAAGTAGGTATATATATAAATTGGGTTTGAAAATTCAGAGTATGAGGCTGTTCCCATGGTCAGTGCTTGAAGTTTTGTTTTTAAATCTTCCCAAGCATGAAGTGCCCACTACTTTCCCTTCTCCAGATGACCATTAAATGTACTGTTTTCAAGAGGACTTTGTTTTGCTTTGGTATTTCAGACATTGATCAATAGTAAATCCACTATTAAAGACCCAAACATTTTAAGTCAGCCCATGAAATATGTCACAATGTCTTCATTAAACAGTTGTTAATGGAATAAAGAATGAAAGGGGGGAGGTGTTGTGAAATGTATACATTTGCAGTTTTTAGACAGTACCTATTTGTAATCATGTTGAATCCCATGCTTTTAGCATACAGTATAAGGGTAGTATGTGAACTGAATACACCCGTCTATCATGTCATTGTAAATTATTAATTTTGAATAGGTTGACATGTTAATTTTTATAAATTTGGTGCTTCAAATCAATAAAACGATTTTTAAACTTTGCTTAACAGCCAGCTAACAAAGGTTTTATTTGTTATACAATCTCAAAAAAGTGCATATTAGTATCCTGATTGAGAAACAAGAATATTTGATACATGTTTGTCATTCTTGTGCTTACAGAGACCTAAGTCCAATGTTACTGAGTGGTTTAGATAGGCTGGTGAACGTACTAGCCATGTACTTAAAAAAGTAATTGAGAAGGAGGTTATGAATTATAGTTAAATAGTATGAATTGTTTATGCTACTTGGGCATCAGAAGGCCCAATCTCTTGCTGAATTAATTTTCTAGTTAGAATTCTTAGGAGTCCTTACATAGATTTTTGAGATTGATGAATCTTTCATTGTATATAAACCTTTATTTGTGTGTGCAATTTTCTGATGAACAGGTTTCAGCAACAATGAACTGACAACAGTGAGTCCATAGGACACCCCCCCCCCAGGAAGGTGAAAACCTGCTCTGGTGACATGGCAAACATTCACAGCTCAGTCACCACTTCAACTGTTAACACTTCTCTTAACTCCTTGTTTGGATTTCAGGACATTAAAACTGTCGAAATGTCACCTGAATGACAATGGTGCCAACTCTTAATTAGAATAGTAATTGAAAGATACTAAATCCTACCTATGTCCAGCTGGATCCCAACTGTAGGCTTTGGGTTTTGATTCTGCTTCAGTTTCTTGTTCATTCACTCACAGCAGAGAGTGGAAGTCTGAGAAAGGAGTATTTGGATCTGACACAGATATCAAAGCTCAATATGTATGCTCTCAGATGCCCTTGCTTTTCTCCCTTCTCCTAGAGATCTTACCAGGTGCTCAGGTTTTTAAGACATTTTTAAATGAAAAACTTGCTCCCAGTGTGAATACAGGATTGCTGTACTTTAGTATTCTTTGGGTGACTTAAGATTAGTGTCATACTTTAATTACAAATGAGATCATCTTCATTGTCACTTGCACCGCTATGTTTCTAAACTCATCTAAGAGAGATCTGAAATAAATACAGCATCTGAAGGATTCTCCTATAGATGGGTCTAAAACACAGAAGGCTTTCTACCCATAAGGTGCTGTAATGTCAAGTTTCTGGCAAGGATGCCCCTGGCCTAGTCCTTTCATACGACAGTTTGGACAGGAGTCACACACTGTGGAGGAGAGCTGGCTCTTTCTGAAGAAGAGGTTGAACGGTTGGAAATTTCTCTCTGAAGTTCCTCTACTTTTCTTTGAAGCTCTGCTCTTTTGGCAAGAAGTTCTTTGTATCTGCTGTGGATAGGTTCCTGCAAGAGCAAACAGAGTCACTGCAATGGGAATCCAGGCAAACGTGAGGTCTCAGCCATTCCTTAAAGCCCCACCTTTAGTTCCTTAGTGGAATTAAATTCGTGTTTTGTTGTTGCCTTCACGTCTGATCTTTCAATGGCTTCAGATGTTCCTGGAAAATGCTACTTTATAAATAGCCTTTACTTAAAACTCTTCAGGACTATGGACCTGCAGTGTTTTTAGGCTTTTATAAAGTTATTTTCTTCTGTATGCTTAAGACCACACAGAAAGATGTGTGCAGTTGAGAAAGTCTCATAACTAAGGGACTGAGTGGGCAGTTTTAAGTGTGACAAACCTAGTGGGTCATACTGTATATTGTAGATGTGTACCTGTGGTTTCATCCGGGGGTTCCACCTTATATAATATCCCACCCAGAGCTCTAGGTGGCGCATGCTGGCTACTGGGTAAAGGACGTGATTGGAGTAGCTCCCATAAAGAGGATTAGTGAAGTCTTCCAGCTGGCTGTTTATATAGGACCACAGTGACACTGTCTTCTTAGGAAGATTCTGCAAGAGGGAAGAAATGGTAAAGATCTACCACATCAGCCATTTAAACCTAAGGTGAAATTTGTATAGGACTGTGTGATCATTAAAAATAGAGGATCTGAAGATAGGATCAGAGTTCATCCACATGGGTAGATCCAAACATTAGCTCCAAGGCACCCTCTCCTGGTCTCACCAAACACATGTACCACACACTTGTCCATAGACAAAAAATAAAAGTGCTCCATATGATTAAATCAATACTATTTATAACAGCCAAAATAAAGTACAACCCAAAGGACTACCAACTGATGGGGTATACACAATGGAAGATTATTTGACCATGAAGAGGAAGTGTGTGGTGTGATATAAATGTTGGAATGATAGTAATGAAAGGAGCCAGACACGAAGGTCACATGATGAGTGGCCATCCATAGAGGAATCCAGTCAGTATCTGCCCAAACCTGGGAGAACACACACTAGCAGGTGTGATGAAAAATGTTCTAAGTTAAATGGTGATGGCCCACAATTCTGTGGTTATACCTTAGATTATCACTTTAAAAGAGAATTTTGTATTTGAATTTTATGATTTAAGATTTTTAAATCCAGGGTAGTTTCTCAAAAAACTGACAGTAATTAGAATACTGCTGTGGTGTTTGTGACCACATCTAAAAACCCACAATATACTGAAAGCCTACCATGCATGGAAATATATTCACTATAAAGTATATATAACACCTGCAAGGTACAGTGTTCCTAAACACTCTTCCCTGTTTTACAGAAACAGAAATGAACTTACGTGTTAGTGAGTCTAATACCTGAACCTGGTAGCAGGGCTTTTCAGTGTGAATGAGTACTCTCCTAGAATAACCTACTTTCTGACAAAGCTTTCAGAATGAAAGTTGGTATGCATGAGGGCTCTACCAATACACGAAAAGTGATACCTCTTCAGAGAGTGGTGCTTTTGTTTTGCTTCTTTTGTTTTGCTGTGGCAGGATCAAACCCAGCGGTTTGAAGAGCAAGGCAAGCACTCTGGCACTGACCCTATACTTCTCCGCATCCTCTCTCTGCATCTTTTCTTCAAATTTATTTTGAGAGCACGTGTTTAAAGGGCTGGCTTCAGACTTGTGATCCTTCAACTTTAGCCTCTGGAATACCTGGGATTCTAAGTGTAATCCCTTATCCCCAGTTTATGGGTTGAAGTAATCCTAATACATCTTGGGAGATACAGTATAACCAAATACATACCAAGTGAGAGCCAGAGATCATACTTTACCTCTTTTCCCCTCTGCTGTTCGCTGTTACAGAGGAATGTCCCAAATAAACAGCTGTACAAGTGGTCCAATATGGTAATGAGAAAATACTCATTGAATTCAAAGGCGGTAGGGAACTGCAAATTGAGCATCACAAACTTGAGACATTTTTCACGCACATTTATCTGTCATGAGTAGATCTTTTATAATAGTATTTAGACAGATTTAGAACTACCTAAGCCATTGTGGTATAGTCTGTTCTCCTTTCTGAGGTATAGTCTCTCTCATGCAGTGAGTACTGAATGGTTTGTTGTTTGCTCTGCCTTGACCCTATAATTGCGAGTCATTGATTTCTGACATGGAACAGTTTGGTGAGTCTGGTATTCTATTAATTTTCAACATGTCTTATTTCTAAGAATTAAAACTATCAAATGTGCCCAGCAAATGTCATCAGTATATACACAGAAGTATCGGGTATACAGCTATACAGCTGTGCTGATAACTTAGCAAGTAAACCTACTTGTCTTGTGGAAGAACAGGTTCTTACAATTCACAACTGGTAGCATTAGCCCAACTCAGAATTCATCCTCAGTGGGTATCTTAATTTTATACAAGCCATTTTTGGAGGGCTACCAAAGGAATTAAAGACCGCCCAGAAGGTAGCAAACGGTTTAATTGAACCCAATTCTATTACTATCACAAAACCATTCAGAAACTTACTTGTAAATATATCTATTAATTATTAGCTTGTAAAACATTCCACAATGACCTGGAAAATACTACCTTGGTATTTTAGAAAAACTCTGTCAACTTAACTAAAATCTATGGGGACATGTAGTTTACTGCTAAGCCTTCTTTAGAAAGGTAATTAACATACTGATGAGCTCCTTTCAACTTTTTTTGCCCCCTTCTTGATTTAGAATTATATCACATTTCTAAAAACCATGTCCCCATCCTACCCAAACAGCACCTTAATCATTTCTAATTCCTCGGTAATATCTGGTGACCTACTTAGGGGTTGGATCTACCAATTCAGAGGGCTGGGCCATATCTTCTCTTATTTTTCTTACTGGCATGTCTCCAGTGACAAAACCTGTGCCTAAAAGCTTTACCCTACTCCTGCTAAGCCATTTGCAAGACCCTGCAACTCTGTCCTATCATGATCCTTTCTAAACTGAGTCCTTATACAACTATTTCCAACAAACCTGCTGCCTAAACGGCTGTTACAGAGTTTCTAACCGCTCCATGGTTGACAGAGGCTGCCATCCCTGGCTTATACTTTCTGCCCCAACACTTCTTCCTTTAAACAGATAAAAATGGCTCAAAATAGTCTTTATTTTTGGCAGGAATTTGATGTAGTTTATCTTCCTTAGCAAAGAAATACAGAACTCTCAGTGAGTAAAGAACTTTATTCAAAAGAGCAATCTTTTTCATTTTTATCAGTGTCCCGGGCCAAGATGCTACTAGAATCCAAGTGTTTATTAATTAATATTTATTAATATTACCCTAAAAACAAGTTTTAATACCCAACAATAATAACAAGTTGTTATCTCTTGGATTCTACCTAAGAATCCTAAGCCAATTAGGATCACGCTGAGCTCAGAGATGTGTGGGCGGGGTGTTAGCAGATGACAGGTCTTACCTGTCTTGTCATTTGCCAGACACAGTCAATAAATTGAAGAAACACAGGTGATCTGTCTGCATCAGCATGGTTCTTATCTCCATGGCCAACTCTCTGAAGCAAAGACAATGAAATGTCACATGTAGAATATTTTACTTAGCAGATTTTCTATTTTCTGAGAGTACAACTTGGTTAGTATTTTTAATTTCTTCAAAACATCTTTTGAAAGTGTTACAAAGTAGAAAAAACAACTCTACTAAGCAGAAATTTATTAACATTTTCACACATGCAAACTTCAAGATAACTACTTTAATAAATGAAACCCAGATGCTAAAACAAAGGAGAGAAAGCCCTTAATAGCCCAGATTTTTGACTTAAAGATTTAATTTCTCTGTGGTAAGACATTTCTCATGGAAAATCACTGGACAAAGGCACCTCCCCAAGTACCCTTTGTATATAACTATATAGCACAAATCTCAAGAACTTTCAAAAGCACTTGAATTTGCTCTTCACACAAATGGCTTCCCACCTATGCAATTGAAAACCCCAAAGCAGGGATTCATTCAAAAAGTTGGAGTATACAACTTCTTGGGCAGGCTTCAATGTAAAAAGATATTGTCATAATCCTAAGATGTTACTTTGGTTCACATTTCCCAGTGTGCAGTATTGGTATACCTGGTGCAAATGTAAACTGCTGTTGGCTATCGGGCTGGGCAGTGGGGATGGGCCATAGCAGACTATTTTCTATCCTGCGAGATGCTCACTATTGAAGGAACAATGTCCAGTTTTCTTAGACAAGTATCATTAGCAAAGCAGGAAAAATTAATGTTACTAGGTAAGCATTTAAATTAATGTCTAATTTAATTAATAAAACAGAGAAGGTACACATTTCATTTGCTATTATCCTGTGCATCAGGATAAACATTTTAATGTTAAGTATGGATCATAAGACTTGAAGATTTGATGATGTTTTTCAAAAACATAGTTTTCCTTAAAGTGAAACACTATGGACAATATTTATTTGTTGCTAATCATATGAAGATTAGAGTTTTAGTAAATATTTGCCATATCTACTTTTCTGATAAAAATCACATGCCTATGCCTCTGATACAGTGGAACAAAACAACAGATCAGGAGTCTCTGTTTAACTGTGAGCCAGTATTTTCTGTGGCACAAAGGACAAAAAAAAATTATTTTCTGGATTCCACAACCTCTAAGAAACTATTATCATCTGCTAAGCTTTGACAGATTCCAAAACATCCTTAATTCTCCAAAAAGGCTACTAAAAATACTGTCTATTTACACAGGAAAGGAAAATTTTCCTTTAAAATCCTTATTAAGGTAGAATTTGTTTTAAAAAGTTTTCAGGTAAATACATCACTGTATAGAAAAATATAAGAAAATGTAAGCTACTGGGAGAGATGCCTACAGTGCCTAATTTTGCATGACAGACTTGACACTCAAAGGCCAAAAGAATCAGATCCTCTAGTGCTCGAGTAACAGGCATGTGGGAGCCAGACCCAAGTGCTGGGAAATGAACTGAAATCCTTACACAAGCAAGTGTTCTTAACCGTTGAGAGCCCAGATTTTTTTACACGATTATTTTAGTTCCAAATGACTATATTAGTAAAACTACTTTATAAAACTGAATTAGTATCTGAACCACTGTGATTTTTCACACAAGCCCAAATGGAAAGCTACCAGTATTTTATAGCTTCATTTAGAGGGATACCACTATGACCATTAGTGACAGCTGAATTTCTAGGCAGTTATCAGAGAGACAAGGTAAGACACCTAACAAAAGCCCCACTCTGGGTTCAGATTGCATTACATTAAGAATATACTAACACTTTATCAAATATAGTACTCTCATGACTTCACTTGCTGAGTAAATGGCCAAATTTATACCTTGCACAAGATGCATGTGAAACATTAAAAATGAAGGCTCAGGATGGCTCAGTGAGCAAAGTATTTGCCACATGAACATAAGACTTGAGTTTGGTCTGACCACCTAAGTAAAAGTTAGGCATAATATGCATGCCTGTAATCCCGGCATGGAGAGACAGAAATGGCAGATCTCTTGGTTTTGCTGGCTAGCCAGCCTATCCCAAATTTGTGACCTCCAGAGTTAAAGAGGAACCATGTCTCTAAATAAGAGTAAAGTAAATTCCTCATTAAGGTAGAATTTGTTTTAAACTGACAACCTCTGAGCTGCACACAAATGCACATGCCCACGTGAGCAAACAACGACCAAACCCAGTAAAATGAAGGTTCTTTACTCACTAGTTGGAATCTATGTCCAAAGCTTAGCCACTCTTTCTCCACAAGGACTTCAAATCCTCGTATGGTTCGATAGTATCCATCCAACATGAGCATGGCCAGGGAAGTGAGCTGAGCTGTACGATCCCAACCATCACTGCAATGCACCACCACAGATGTCTTCCCAGACTCGACCTTGTCAGCGATCCTAAGAGCCCCTGCAAGAATGAGCTGGAAACAAGTTTTAAAATGAAAGTTTAAAAAAAAAAAAAAAAGAAACACTTCTTAAAAGAAACTAATACAGTTTTGTTAGATATACGACCTGTATAGACCGAGAACTATGTCAGTCACATGGAAAGATGCATCAGTCAACAATAAAAAGGAGGCAGGTGCCAAGGCTCATGCCTATAATCCCAAGAGTCTGAGGTTGAGGACTGCATGGACCTTATCTCAAAAACAGGCACATAAATGAAGAACAGCATATTAAATGGGATGGGAGTTGAGAACACAGGAGACAGGAATTGGGTACAATGTGGGAAGACTGTCAGAAGTAAAAGATACACTATCATCTGTGGGACAGAGAGAATGCAGACGGATGGGAAAGAGGAAAACGAGTAGCAGCAGAAACACATGCATAGCGTAAGATGCAGCTATTTCAGACCTGCACAGGGTCACTGGCTCCACTACTCAGCAGGTCCTTCCTACTAAGTTCAGTTACAAGAGCCAAGGTAGACAAAGGGATGGAAGCTTTGAGAAATAGTAGCAAATACACACCTTAATGTGTTCCAGCCAGTGTGTAGATTCTAAGTTAGACAACCAGTGAGTTTCCTCAATGTTGGGGTACACAATCTCCTTAAGCTTCCGCAATGATTCTCTCATAACATGGATGTTATGAATATCCAGAAAAACGAGTTCTGCATTTTGATAGGCATCTTCACTTTCATAACCTCCCCCCTTTGCCTGCAAGAGGGCACACATCACAGAAAATCACAAATGAGTGCATAGCCATCTTTACATATCCATTACAAAGTTCCATAAAATACCTAAAGTGTACAAAATAAGGAGACCACTGCTGTACACCAGAAACAGAGTTTGTGCTAAGCCTATGTGCAGTACATTAGTTATGTGTCACCCCAAAGTACATCAGCATTTTAAAGAAAACTTCCCCATGCATATCACTCTTATCTATAATTTAACAAAATTTTTCTTCCAACTTCACTGAAATAATCAATTATCAATTCCATGTAAAATGATCCCATACTGGTCTACCCAAGGTGCTGCTTTTCACATCATTTTCACATATTTAATTAAAAAACAAAACATTGTAGCCATAATGATTTCAAAGTTAGTGTTCTGTTGCTGTGACAAAATACTTGAGGAAGGATTTATCTGAGGAGGATTTACTTCACTTCCAGTTTCAGTTTCACCGGCAGGCCCAATATTTCTGGAGTATGGTGTTCATCGTGGGAAAGGGCATGGCAGAAGAAAACCATTCTCCCATGTCAGCTGAATGAGAAGAGGAGGGCAGAGGCCACCCCTCAAAGGGGCGTCCCTAGCAGCCTCATCCCCAGCCAAGCTCTGCCTTCTGTACTTCACAACTTTCCAAAATCTGAAGTTTGACTCAAAAATTGCATTAACCCATTGGTTAAGTCAGAGCTCTCATTTCTCAAACACCCTCATGGATACACTCGCCCTCTTTCCAATCAAGTTGACAAGGTTAGCAGCAATCACAGTTTGCTTACCCTATAAGCAGCTAATTCATTTTAAGTTAAAATGAATTATAAATCCCATATACTTTTCAAAACAAGCTGTAGCAAGGAAAGAAAACCTAATTTCTCCAAGTTTAATATCACAGTTTATGTTAAAAAAATCCTCTTTCCTAATTCTTACATAATCACACTCCGTGGAGCCTTAACAAAAACAAATGAGGACACTAGAATAACTACACTAATATGATCCTGACTGGTACCTCTGCATTCAACTCCAAACTCATCTTAAAAATTGGTCAGATTTCTAGTCTATAGACTATTCAAGATTGTCATAAAACTTAATGTCAAATGTCAACAGTACTTATTAATGACAACTTCTGAAGAGAGAGATGTACGTGATAGTTTAACATGGTATATCACCCACAGGCTGTGTGTTGCATACTTGCTCCCTAGCTGCACTTAGTACTGTTTGGAAGATTGCGGGAGAATGTTTACAACGTGAGGCCTAGCTAGAGGAAATAGGTCTCCCAGCATGCCTCAGGGAGTAACTGGCATGTGCTCACAGCACCAGTTACTGCTACAGGATATAAAAAGTCATTAACAAAGCAACTCTAAAACTCAGGATAGAGAAACTTGCAAAGCAATCTTGTTGCAACAAATATCAGAATATGTAGTAGCTACTATACAAGCCCATCACAGAAACAGGAAGAAATCCTATAGAACCAACATCATAGCAGTAGCTACTCTATAAACCCACTACCGAAACCAGATGGAAATACTACAGAACCCACAGCCATGATGGGCTTTGAATACACTAAGTATTCACATACTCCATTAAGTATTTTTTTTAAGGCAACTAGATGATAAACCAAAAAGCATGAAAATCATTTAAAACTGAACTCGGTGATTAGCTACTCTACCATGACTTAAAATGCAAGTATAGGGCAGTGTAAGAAAGACTGCCAAAAGCCCCAAGGGTTGACTGCCATCAGTGAATGGGAAGCAACATAATGCAATGGATATGATGACCTCAACCCAAGCTAATCAGAGTCCTGTGTGAGGACTGCAGGGTAAGGAGAGTGGCTGCTCTAGGTCAGATGGCGGCTCCATGGGGTCCTGGCCGCAGGAGCAGTTACAACAGTAATCCATCTGGCTGTGAAAACTTCTCCTCCCACACGTGCTGCTACACAGTACATATGTAGTGAGTTTCCCAGAACGAGGGGCGGCAGGCAAGCATAAGATCATTAACACTCTGCCCTACCATAGCTGCTGTCCTCTAGTCCTTTCTTTCTCAGAGAGAGCTAAGTCTGACTCCTGCTTTTATCCAAGGCACAGAATTTAGAGAGGAAAATCAGCACTTGCTGGAGAATATATTTGACTTCTAGGCTATAAGGTTCATTTAGGCATCACATTCTATAAAATATCAAGAAGGATAATGTAAAAAAAGAAGATTGTTGGTGAGTAGCAGTGTGCTCAACGGTGTAAAAAATCCTGATAAAGCAAGCCTGTGGGTGATACTTGTTTGATGTTTGTAGTACAAATGAAGTTCAAATGATACATAACATTTTATGAGTCTGCTTTTGAAAACTGTAATTTTTGGCATTTAAATTACTAAATACTAAATGAAAGAATCCTGCATTATAAAATCTTTTAAAATAAACTTGGGAGTTTTAACCTCAATAAAGTCTATAAATTTAGGTGACAAGAAAGATGATAAAATAATCATGCTTTACAGCTTGCAATGACTTTGGATGTCATGATCCTACCTCGCCTCCTTTAAAAGGACCACTTGCAAAGAACACCTGGGACTTCACAAGGCCCTCAAAAAAACATCTATGCACATGCAGAATGAGGAACATTCTCACGAGCTAAGTAAGGGTGATCACTCAATCGCCACTCATAGCAGGAGGACAAAGTCTAAGTACAGTTCAGTGTGACTAGCTATCAGACATTAAGATGACATAAGTTTTCAATGACATAATAAAATGTCTTGATTTTAAAAAGTTTTCCATTTTACTTCAAATATTTATGCACGACTACACAGGTTTGAAAATATAAGCAAAATTTAATGATGCTAGAGGTTTTGGGGTATGTTAAAGCATTTTGTCACTTGCTTAGCTATCCGGATTAACTCATTTTTCTTTAACAAGGATGAAATGGAGTCTTTGAAAGGCTAAAAATGAACTTAGGCTCCCATCATCTACTTAGTGCAATGGGATCTCTGTCATTACCTCTCTAGGTCTGACCACTTTTTACAAGGCTACTGTACAGACAAATTCGGCTGCCTTGAGTAATACCAGACTAGTGACAACTAATTACTAAAGAAACCCTCACCTTATTGGCAACAGCATTGACACTTGGCCGAGCATCAAATATAAATATTTTGTGAGACTGGGCGTTGGAGTCCATGATGGCCTGAAGGTACTTCTCATCCTCTTTGCTGCGTTTCCCGCTCACTCCCACCATGGGCTGGCTGCAGCGAGTGACTGTGGCTTGACTTTCAGGATGGATCCATGACAAAACCTTAATGAAAGACATGGTGACATACACCTACTGTGTCCCTGCTGCCAAGCCTCCTAGAGAGCAGGCTCTATACAGATGCCTGGCAGGACAGGCTCGGGGCCCTTCAGGGTACCATGAAAACATGCCACCATTATTTCTAGCCAACTCTGCTTTATAGACAATTACCTAATTCCTAATCAGACACTATTATCAAACTCATTGATTACTGAGAAGTCTTGTCTTAAAAATAAGTACATTAAAACAGAGCTAAATAAACACTGCTTGACTTTATCACTGTATAAGTAAACTGTAAAGTTCTCAGAATCTATGCATTTGAAACAAATTATTTCATCTGCTCTTTTCAGATACTTGTACATGATAAATTTGTAAAGTTTCCTACTTTCTTGGACTCAGCAAGGGAAAAAAGCATTTATCGCCATAACTAAAGCATATGTAAGATATAGAATGGCAACCAATACACAGAGCACTAGTGAGGAGCCAGCAATACTGTTTTAACATCACAGTTTAACTTGGTATCTAATATCCTCAGGTAAATGCTGTAGCTTGTCATCCTGGACCCATGGATACACCTAGTCAGCATACTTACTGGGATCCGGCCCCGCGACCTGAAGGACGCCACTCTCTTTAGCTCCTCATCTGGAATGTTTGCTGGCACAACCAAGAGGGCAGGATATGTGTCACAGAGTTCATAGCGTTCATTTATCTTTGTTATTCTCCAGCTTTCATTTGGAATTCCCTATACATGACATATAACACAAGACAACCTGTGAGATAAAAATATAACCAACACTAGGACGGCAGCCACCTAAGCCAATTTCACCTATCTCTACTACCCGTATCTTAAAACTGTTCAAACAGTGACAGCCAGGGTTTTAGGAAGGCATATTTTAATGTGGGGATCTGCAGTTACTTGGCACCAAATGTAATATTAGTAAGCCTGTTAATTCATTAGATACTAACAGAGTATGTATGTGAGCCTGTGCTAAGCATATCTGGGAGAGGGAGGGAACAGAGAGACAGCAGTATCTGCTTCCACTACAGCTGTCTCAGGTAGTGATTAGACTGAATTTGCTGCTGTATAGACATAAGTATACATCCTCTAAAACTTTCTCTGGTCGCTAGCACTCTGTCAGGAAATGTTTTTTTATTTCAATTCCATTTCTGCAGGATATGATTACTGGTAAATAGTTACCAAGTAGCATATTTAATTATACAACCAGGTTATATACCATCCTCTAGCTTCCACTTTTGAAAAACAACCTGCCAGCCCAACTTTTGCTTTAAAAGATAATAAAAAGAAATCTACTACTACTGCTGCTGCTGCTGCTGCTGCTGCTGCTACTACTACTACTGCTGCTGCTGCTACTGCTGCTGCTACCGCTGCTGCTACCGCTGCTGCCGCTGCTGCTACCGCTGCTGCCGCTGCTGCTACTACTGCTACTGCTGCTGCTGCTCCTGCTACCGCTGCTGCTGCTACTGCTGCTACTACTGCTACTGCTGCTGCTGCCACTGCTGCTGCTGCTGCTGCTACTACTGCTGCTACCGCTGCTGCCACTGCTGCTGCTGTTACTACTGCCACTGCTGCTGCTGCTGCTGCTGCTGCTGCTGCTGCTGCTACTGCTGCTGCTGAACTACTATTGTGAGGAGTGGGAAGAAGAGTAAAGGCAGGTACCATAGCCCACCTAGAGGCCGGAGGAGAGTTATGTGCAGCTAGTTTTCTGCTTCCATCTTGATGTGCATTTGGGGGATTAAATTCTGGTCTGTAGACTTGTGTGCCAAATGCCATCTCACCAGCCCAGGATAATCTCCTTCTTCTAGCTACTCTAAGACTTTGTGGGTTTGATGTTCTACAGTTTCTCTATGTCTATATGTGAGCTTCTTTACAGTAATCTGATATTAACTCATGTTACTCACTGTACAAACTGGTTATCTTTCATTAGTCAGACTACTACTTACTAACTTACCTACTAAAACATAGTTTTGCTTGCATTTTGTAAATTCAAATCCTACCTTCCACACACAATAATAACTATGTTATGATGGACAGATTGCTAAACCTTCCCATGCCTCAGTTTACCCATTCTGTGCAGATATTTAGTACCTTTACACCTTGTTTAACACATGGTTTAGTAAATAAAACCAGTATGCAAAATGTTAGTAATATACAGAACACACAAAAAGCAAAATTCTTCCCTAAGCCCCCCTTCATTCACTCATTCAAGTCTACGACACAGCAGGCAGTGCTACATCCTGACATTATCAGTGAGAAAACTAGTCAGTACCTTCCCTACTGGAGCACAAGCAATAACAATACCAAAGAAGTAGCAGATGATTCCTTAAAAAAGACAGAGGAAAGAGCCTCAACAAAGAAAAACACATGTGCCATTAATAAATACTCACCAAGTTTAGATGTATCAAAGATAAGAGAAAAACATCAGAGAAGCTATCAACAGTAATTAAACTTTGATCTACAGGTAAAAGGGAGATACAGCTCAGTAGTAGAGTGTGTGCCGAGCACATGTGAAAGCATGAACTCAATCCCTACAAGCACGCATGCACACACGCAAGTTAAAGTATGAGTACTAAGGTAAGTCGAATGCTGCCCTTAGCATAAGGGAATGTATCTGTCTGTCCTCTGTGAAGAATGGAACTCAAAAATTTGCAGAGCTAGATTGAAAGCAAAACAGTTACTTTTTTATTTCATAAATTATAGGACACCTAAAATGTAAAAAAACTGAATGAATATTATGACATATAAGAGCATTAAACTTTATACATACTACTGATCCCATTTCAACTTTATACTGAGCAAACAGTTTTTTAGACAAACTGATGCTTATAAACTAGATAAAGACTCAATAAGATCACTAGTGTATTCGAAAAAGCCAATCTAAGGAAATGAGAAGAAACCCACCAATTAACCCCCAGATTAGCTTCCAGTTAAAACAAAAGGAAGAGAAGACACTGAAAGAACTCCTTACTTTGATTGTCTATCTGTCATGAAAATAACACAGAACGCAAGAGCTGGAACAGAAAAGCACGTACCTGCCTTCTGTACTCTAGAAGGGGGTCATATAGTTTCCACCCATTTTCGGGGAATACTTCTTTATACTCAAAAGCAAAAAGAGGCTACAAAATAAACAGCAGTTTAAAAGACATTTAAGAAAGTAATGAATCAGAAATATGTCCTCAAAGTACTGTCTTGATTACATATTTGTAAGAGTATTTTGTATTGCCCCTTTTAAATAGTTTGTTTTATGACTGAAATTACTATTTAATTTACAACACTAAATATCTTTATACATTTTAAAAAGTACAGAAAAACACAAAGACCCACTTAAAAATTTACTAAATGCTAACCTAGTTCCTTTAAATATTTTGATACCTTTTGTAGGTTTCATTCTAAATAATAAATGACATCTCCAAGACAGTACTTTCCAACACAAATAACTGCTCCAGCACTAGCAGCAGCAGTGAGTGGCTCTAAAGTCCATACTGTATGCTCTAATATACTGAACAAGCTTTTTATACATTGGCATGTAACCTTTTTTAACATGTAACTAGAAAAAAACTATGGTGTTTAGAAAAATAATTGCAACTAAAGTGAGAAATCCAGTATTAATTCCAGTACTGAGTTAATTCCCTGCTGTATCCACTCTGGCTCTAACATGTGAATGAATATGGCTGCCATAAAGGTGAAATTCTATCACGCAATTGAGAGAACCTAGCACAGCTAAAATACCGCTACACTAGTAACTGTCCCAAACTCCTAGTCTTAATGCCAGCTCCCACCACCCAGGGAGATTTCAAGCTCTAATGAAGCTTTTACCATAGAAACATCCTAACAAAAAATATTATAAGCCAAGACGGTGACATGGGCTGTAATCCAGACCTCATGGAGCTGTGGCAGGAGACGCCAGCCTGTCTCAAATAAAGATACATAAACAAAATCACTCTGTGGTACAGCACTTGCCTAGCATGTGTGAAGCCCTGGGTTCAATCTCCAGTTTGCTCTTCCTCCCAAGAAATCAACACATACTTACAGAATGTCATTACTGAAATGGACCTTGGGCACAAGAGAGCCTCTAAGCTAAGTGCCAAATCAGGAACATAAAAGGGAGAATCTGGACAACCTAGCTGAGTTTGTTCACACTAATAATTACAATAAAGATTAGAGAGAATCATTTACCAAGCTGTTAGACACAGGAAATGCATATTTCATTAGATTCTCAAATATGGATCTTCTTGTTCTCCCCTCCGGTTTATGAGCAAATCGTAAATTCCTGATATCCTAGAAAAGATATAGTATCTAATTAAATCACTTTGTTCCTTTTTAATGAACAAATGAGGTTACTTGGAAATGTCAGGTAAAGGGAAGATCTGCATTTACAATACAAATGAGCTCCTGCAAGTAAAAAAGTAACGATGGCTCACTGGGAGCAGAAGAAACCCAGTACACTTTACTACATGGCAGAGAATCTTCCTGTGCTCCTCGGCTCAGCAGGGCCAAAGGAAAAGAAAATGATTAAGTACTGACACACGCTCACTATCAGCATTTGTTCTTTTCTGGACAGGAGAGATGGCTCAGTAGGTAAGGTGCTTGCCTCACAGGCAAAGGGCCGCAGTTCAATTCCCAGAACCTACTTTTTAAAAATAAAACCCACCATCAGCTGTTACTACATTTCCATCACATACATCACATTCTTATTGATTCTTGCTTCCTAGTGCTCAATTCATGTCTCTTCTGCTAGACAGGACCAAACTGCCTTTACTTCTTCCTGCCTTCAGTGACATGCCTCCTAGCTGGCTGTAACCACCCAGATTCAGCCTATACTGGATCTCAGGGACTCTTTCCACATGTGTCCTCAGCCGTTCTCAGCTCAGGCAGAGTGACATTAGTAGTCAAACTTAGGTTGGCTCACAGCATCTAGTAAAAGTATTTGAGATTAAAAATGATTTACAAGTATCCATTTTTATTTAAGTATTTTAACTTAGGCAAAAGTTGACTTGACTTTGTTAACAGTCTCATTATTGTTGCGATCACTCTGTTACTCGGTACTGTACAATATGAGATAGTATATTTATATTCATTTTTTAATACTGACACTCCATTTTATAAGCAATTTTAGACCTCATTCCAGGGAAGAAAGATGACTGCATCCTCAAGAGCACCCAGAAATGATACTATGTGTCACCCACCATCCATCCATCAGCAGAGACTGATCAATGGTTTATTCCTAAGAGTAGACAGGCACTACTCTATAGCTCACTGGGCTGAACTGAGACTGCAGGGCACATAGTGGACTGAAACTCTACCAGGGAAACCAAGGCCAAGAGCTTAACAGACACACCAGACTATAGAAAATACAGCTCTCTCACATGAACCCCATAGCGCCCATGTCATCTGAAACCTGGTGTGTCAAGATCCAAGAACTCCCCAACTGCTCCTGAAGCTCAGGTTGAGCTAGCCTACTTAAATTCCTGACTGCCTGTGTGTTCTCCCATCTGAATCTAACCGGTCATCCCTTGCTTCAGACTCACTTCCTGTGCTGGCTGGCCTCACACCCAATGGTAGCTTACTCCCTCCAGCACTGGTCTGATTTACTACCTATAAACAGATTCTCTCCGCAGGCTTCTCAGACTCCTGAAATCTACTGTGGCCTCTATAACTGGTGTGCATTCTGCAAGCCATCTATATGCCAAGTGACATACAGAAACATTTACTATGTGACCTGAAAGATCATATTAGCAATTAAAACTAGACTAAAAGAACTTTCAGCCAGGCTACAAGGTTGGTGGGGTTGTATGACACACTGCTGTCAATGAAACCACTAAACATGAATGTATTGCTATTCAATAATTCTGACATCAGAAATATACAAATGTGTTCTTCTGTTTTAGGGCATAGAACACTCCTGATAATTTTGAAAAACCACACACAGAGACAATACATAGTGTACTTTCAATACAAATAAAATAGCTTATTGCAAATCTGAGTCAAATGAGTACCAACTGCACCATTCTGTGAAAATACACACATGTACACTGTGTTCTCCTGTAAACATCTCTATGACTGGTACAGACACTCCGATCACCTCTTTGGTTAATCTCTCTCCAGCAAAAGCCCAACTATAATGGTACAGATCCACAGAAAAACGTATCTACAATGATTTCAAAAATCAGCTTGCCTGAAACTTTATGTACTATTTCTTGCTAAAGAGAAATGACCAAGAGGCACGGTATACTATATACATAGATGACAGCCATTATATTCAGAACCTTCTTGACACCGAAAAACTACCAGTTACTAAGTCAATAATTTTAACATGAGATTCAACAAACTTTTAAGATTAACATATGCAAACATTCTGGATGATACTCATACTGTTTCTTTTACTTGGGGCACTGAGAAATGAGACAGAAGTCATGTGGTCTAGAATTGAGATGTGCACAAGCCAGGTGGTGGCAGCACACACCTTAGGAGGCAGAAGCAGGTGGATCTATGAATTTGAGGCCAGCCTAGTCTACAGAGCAAGTTCCAGGACAGATACCTTGTCTTAGAAAAATCAAAAAAGGAGGTGGGCAAAATGTTGATTAGGTCGTGGTATTAAATGCCATGTGACTTAACAGCAAATAACATTCACTACTATAAGAATAAATTTCTAATATGTAATCCTCATGTCTATCTAACCGTTTTCTAGAGCAAACACAACCACACCAATATTGTAAAATGTACCTTGCACACAGTTTCCAGGCCATAAGAGTTTTCGCCTCGGCTAGATGCACCACCAATTTTTTCTACTCTACTTATCACTCCAAGAGAAGCATCTAGAACAAATGGAGGGTCCTGCAAGAGAAAAGAAAACACACAACTTCTAAAATACTGCAAAGTGCCTGAGTAACATGAATAGGACCATGGGTTCAATCTCCAACACCTGTTTCCTCAAAATGTTAAAAATCTTAACCAGAAACTCTTTAGTCAAATGTTATCCAGAAGTGAAGCTGGAGTAGTGGAGCACACCATTAGACCAAGCACTTGAAGACTGAGGCAGGAAGACATCTGAGTTTGAGTCTAGCTTGGTCCAATAGCAAGTGACAGGACAGCTATGGCTACATAGTTAAGACTTTATGTGTCAATAATAAATAAGCCAATTAACCAGAAATAAGCAAACATCCCAAACCCACACAATATACAGACAGAAGCAAATCCCAAGAAGCCTCACCCGCTCCATGCTCTTGAAATATAATCTATAATTTGTGACAGTCAGCGTTCCTCGTACAGCACCAGTGAATGGACATATGTAGGTCACATCTTTGGCTGAAAAGACAAAATGGCCATAGTTTACTTGACACTCATGTGCTACTAAAAGCAGATTACACATTTTATAAAATTAATTTGACTGCTTAGCTAATTGTAACAAATCACAGAATAAATGATGTAAAAAAAAACCTTCAGAAGCTTAATCCAAACTTCCAACTTTATCTTAATCTAAGAACTGTAGTGTCCTTGGCTGTCCTGGAACTCACTTTGCAGATCAGGCCAGCCTTTAACTCAAGAGTTCAGCCTGCATGTGCCTCCCAAGTGTTGGGATTAAAGGCATTCACCACCTAGCTAATGCAGGGTTTTTTTAATCTTAAGATATCATAAATTCCCTCCATGCCATTATGAGGGCAAAATATCAGATTCCTTCAAGGAAATGCAGGTCAATTCTGAAGAGTTACAAGATTCTATAAACTTCCAAGGGGAGTTTGGGGGAAACAAAAACCTACACAATCTGTAAGACACTAAAACTTCCTGACTTTGGTTTCATATTAATCAATCTGAAGGGCTGACTACTTTGTATGGAATTTGAAATAAGACTAATCTTTTAACAGTTGTCCAAATTCCACATCAAATCCCTCAGGAAGGATGAGGAACATTTTCTTAATCAATTTCCAATGCATGTTTCATTTAGAAATTTCTGAAATCAAATAAACCCATCAGATTATAAAGACAGATTTTGTTTCTGTTATGATCTTATAGCTTTTATCAGTGTCACTGAAATGGTTCTGGGTGATGTCAGACCCAGTTTTCCTCTGCAGGAAAAGCACCTGGCTTTCTTATCCTACAACCATCATGGGATGTCCTTCTTGCACTTCCTCACTCCTAGACAAGGAGGGAAGACATATGCATATGCTTCCAAAGTTGCAAGGACTGCAAATACAGAGGTCTACAGCAATCACCACTCCCAACACCTGTTTCTGCTTTGTTCTACACCCTCACTGCAGTCAAAGAGAGATGCTTTTAGCTGCCTCACATAAGGGAGAAAAGAGACTCTGACTAGCACCCTGAGCAGAGTAAAGGGCAGAATCAGCTCACACTGGTCACCCAGTACTTAGTTTATGAAGTACTTTTCACCTGTGTATGTGTAACTTAGCCTCAGATATCTATCACTATCTCTATCTCTATATATCTGTGATACACACATACACATATATATATTCACACATATTCATTTAATGCTTCTACTACCATTTTTGCTTTTTATTACATTTATTTATTTGTATATGTATATGGGCATGTATATGCTATGGCCATAACACACATGAGGTTTCTTTATCATTATTAACTATGTCCACTTCAAGCCATTGTAGGTATCTGCATGAATATACTCAAATACCTCCAACATGTTGTAAGCAGGACAACAGTTAAAAAAAAAGAGCAGAAGCAGATGCAGCGACCCCTGAGGGTGAAAATGCAAAATAAAGAGTAAGTCTGAGGCTAAGAACATTTGAGATAAGAACATTGGCATGGGGTAGTTAGGCCTGATTCAGAGACAGAGGCACTTGTTTACATGCAGAAAGGTGGAGGCTCAGATTGAAACACACATTTGTACTCATTAACCCATATGTGGGTAAACCTATTAACGAGAGATAACCAACTGAAAGAATAAGCAATAAAGAAACTGGTTGTGGGTGAAGTCCCAGGGCATGCTGGTAGTAAAGGAAAGTTGCCAACAGAAGATCCTTTTGTAAGGCCACACACTGTACTGGAAGCAACAAGGGCACTGATCTTAGAATAGCAGAAAGAAACCATTATGGGCTGAGCTGTGGTTTTATTAGCTAAGAAGCTCCCTATGCTATAGTTTCCTCATCCACCAATGCGAGCTAATGTCTTTCCCACAATATTATCCTAAGGATCATTATGGTAACTATTCCTATCACTTAGTGTCCACAGTGATAATACATCAAAGATGGTACTTGCTTTATTTAGCTAAGAAACCACTTTCTTCACCTACCCAATGTTTTACTCCCCAAAATCTATGAATATTTGTTTTGCGAACAAGCATAACAAAACAAAAACACAAAGTACAACAGTACAGCTTTACTGATTACAGGTATTGCACTAGGATGCAAGCCTTGTCTACACACAGATGCTTGTTGTGCAATGAACATCAGAGACTTCATCCAAAAAATAACGTGAACTTATTCAAGGAAGAAAGTTACAAAAAGTAGAAAATAAGACACTGTACTTTAATAAAAATCACTTGTTTAATGTTTTTAGCTAGCCAACACAGTGGCCGAATGAAGTATTTCAAAGTAATAAAACTGTTCTTCACAGAGGTCAGTAACAATTTAAAAAGGGTAACACTGAATTCGTATATTTCCCAACAGCCAGAGAGGAACACTCCCAACAGTTCTGGGTCTGGGCCTGCAGCACACAGGCTGGAAGCTATAGGAAAATGAACAGCTGTGCACAGACAAAAAGCATTACAGACCCATATCTTTAATGTTCTCTCCTGGAAGCAGGGCTGGTTCCTCCATTTCTGCTAATTTGTTTGATTCCCTCAGGACCTAGATGGGGATATGTAAGAAAGAAACACTTTTTATTCAAAGGCTATTTTTTTTTCATTCAATTTTCATTTTAGACTGCTTACTTTTATTTGAAATTATAATCTTACTACACTAACTTTAAATCAAATTATAGAATCTGCAGTATTGCCACATATAATTTGAAACTGTCATTTTTCTAAAGTATTTCCTGAATGCCTAAGAACTATAAAATCTTGCATTCCCTAAAAACCCTGCATATTTTCACAATAAATCCTAAAACAGCATAAAAATCAAGTAAGTTTTTGATCTTCATTTCATAGGTGAGGAAAAATATGTCCAAGTGGCAGTGAACTTACTTAGTCCCAAAGATAAAAGAGAAGCCTGGGTCCCATCATAATAATAGAAAAGTCCAAAGCTTCCAAAAACCACGCCAAGGGTGCAGAGCACACTTACAATCAGTGCCATGAGACCCTTGTGTAGATTTACTATTTAGAGAATTCTTAAATGATACCAATAACCTTATTAAAGGGGGAATATTAAATTAAATTCTCACCCTGGGAAACATGTTCCACTTTTCTAAGAAGCAGATACAGAATCAAGGTCATGCTGTCAATACCTCCTAAATAGTAGTGTGTACGAAGGTGCCAGTATTGCCCTCTTGGCCAGAGATGCTACTTCATGCAGTGTAGTCAGTGACTAATGTAGTCATGAATGGTCAAAGTGCTGAGAATATGTCACTATAGAGCGATTAGCCCTAAAAGGCATCTATATCCCACCCTGCCAATCATGAGTCCCTCTTGATGCACGCACATGCGTGCACACACAAACACACACACACACACACACACACACACACACACACACACACACACAAACATAAGCACAAAAGCACAAATGGTTCAGGGAACACTGCAGAAGAGTGGAAGGATGAATGCAAGAGATGAAAAATGGAAAGGAATGCTCTGGAAAGCTCTCCTGGGCACAACATGGTCACTACACTACAATAAACTCACTGTAGTTGTGTTTATTTGTATAAGAAAAAGTCACCAGAGAGGGTAAGAGAGGGAAGATGAAGTGAAGGATGACTTGCTGAAGCGGCGGTGGTTAACAGGAACCAGGGTGGGTTCAGGGTGGGTCAAAGAATAAATCAAAGACGTAGAAAAAAAAGGGAAACAGGATCCTTTGGAAAAAAATAGATGACAATGTTACAGCAAGGGCAGGGTACTGGATGAGCATCTCACAGTCCATAAAAAAAAGAACTTTCAAATATCACCAAGGATGTGAGACCTTATGAAAGATCTTCCCAGTGGGAACTTCCACAGTGAGAGTAACAGTCACCCTAAAGTGTACATTAATATTCATAGGCCCACAATGAAGTAAATAGCAAGGTAACTTACTCAACAAGGGAAGGCAGAGAAAAACATCTCACATTAATAATACCAAAATATGTATGCAGATGTTCTGCCCTGGGTCAGATAGCAGGGCACAGCTCTCAAGGATGGGCTGTATGTAACAACTTCTTTCTGAAGATTAAATATAAGGAGACAAAATACTCTACATTAAATACGTTGAACACCTCAATCAGTAAATAGTCAAGGTGAATTCTATGGTGAAGAGCCATGGTGACAGAATATAAACTTGACAAGGCTGAGGATACAGCACTTCATCTCTGAGGTCTTTCCACAACCTGCAACCCCAGTTTGACAATGAGCAAAATGGTACATATTACACAGAACATTGGGTCAGTTTCTTCAAACTGAGAATCACTTATAACTGTCACAGTATTGAGAATGCCTTATTGACACTACTGTCAAATGTTCTGGGTAAGATACTGGAGCAGAGAGAACACGGAGTTAAACTATGGAGATATGACTCAAAGACAGACCTCAGTAATGAGAGTAAGTACTGGTTCACTACATGTCTCACACATACATACACACACACACACACACACACACACACACACACACCTAATAACCTAAGACACTACATATGATCTATATGGGAACTCTTTACTAAAAGTTAAGCAGTTTTTCTTTAACTTTAAACTGATTTAAAATTAAGCTGACCTAATAAGAATAAGTAAGAACATTTGATGTTACTGATGAATACTCTGGCCTCATTACGTGCAAGTGTGAGCCAGTCACTTATTATTTATGCCAGGGGTCCTCAACCTTCCTAATGTTGTGACCCTTTAACACAGATCTTCATAGTGAGGCGACCCCAACCATAAAGTTATTTTTGTTGCTACTTCATAACTGCAATTTTGCTACTGTTATGAATCATAATGTACATGCTTTTGGAGACAGGTTGCCAAAGGGGTGGCGACTCACAGGTTGAGAACTGCTGCTTTATGCAGCAATGGTGACAATAGAGGTAAAATTTTTTTTAACTAAAAAACTACATTTTGAACCAATTCTGTTTTTAAGTAGTAAGATCTAACCACAAGTAGACCAAAACAGCTTAAAATTAAGCTTATGCCCTACTTTATTTTATTAACCCAGTAATAGACAAAAATAGGTATGAACCATGTATTTGTTGGAGGTAAAAAGGAGAGCAGCGAGACTTAGACCCACTGTTACCAGCACCGAGTAACGCCTGAGTGTGTGTGTGATCTTCCGATGCTAACCAGGAAGACACTGTAATTAAGACAGCGTGCAAACACACAGATTATGAAGATAAGCCCTGGAGCTGGAGATATCTTTAGTTCAGTATTATACAAAAGTAACAACAGGTATTTTACAACCTTTATAGATCCCTAACCTGTCTTCATGTATTTATTAAAATGAAAAAGATAGTAGTCTCAATAACTCTCAAAAATTCTCAACAGCAAAGAACTTCATTACTGAAGACATTTATCTTCTCCATGTCTGAATGAAACAAGTAAGAATATACTAGACACTTGAACCTTCCCAAGTTCAAGCTCCCATCTTTCAGAACCTTGAAAATGAATGTCTACTGTTTAAAAAGAAACTCTGAAGAAAGAGTAGAATTAACATCATACAAAAATGCAGTTTTCCATCACTCATGGGTAAGTGGTTGAAGAAAAGCAGATGAATCCACAAATATACTAAGTGCTTCAGTGCTTCAGTGATGTGGTTAATTTTGTAGAAGTAAGACAAAAATACTGGAATACTTTTAAAAGGTACTGCGATATATAGGAATGATCCATGACCTAGTACTTATGTGACTTACCTATAGAATTGGATTCAACAGGATAGAACACTGGTGTGATGGCTAATCTTGGCTGTCAACTTGACTATGTCTGGCATCAACTAAAACCCAAGCAGCTGGGCACTCCTGTGAGGGATTTTCTTGATTAGATCATTGGAAGTGGGAAGATCTACCTTTTATCTGAGCCACACCTTCTGGTGGCAGCCTACATAAAAGGACATGGAAGAAGGAAGCTTTTGTTTTTTGCCTGCTTGTTCTTACTCTTGCTGGCAAGTTCATCTATTCTAATGATGAGACATTCTTTCACTGCTGGTAAAATCTACTTCTTCCAGATTTTGACACAGACTGAAGACAGCAGTTCTCTACAAATTCACTGGAATTCCAGCACCAAATAGGGACTGCTGAAGATATTCAGTCTTATAGACTGCACAGCTACCAGATTCTTTGCCTTTCCATCAGGAGGCAGCCTACATTGGACTACTAGGATCATAGCCTGTAAGACACCCTCATAAATCCCTTTATATATACATTTTTCATCCTATCAGTTCTGTTCCTTTAGAGAACCCTGACTAATGCAACTGGCAATACAGTAAAGTAAGTACAGTATAGTACTAACTATAAGACTATGAACATAGTAATCAAAGATGCCATGTGGAAGTGACAAAACTTGAAGTCTCATGAGAGCTCATGTAAGTGCAGTACTTAGAGTAATGGTTGACTATAGTACATTTTCAATGCATGTTAGCTATTATTCCCTGTTACCATGGAATTAATTAGGAAAATCAGATCACAAAAGAAATATTATTCTTAAACAAAATATTTAAAAGTACTAACTTAAGGAATGAATAATTCATTTTTTAAAATAGTAAGTAAACGTTCAAATTTACTGGCCTTGTCTAAAATAGTGTCTTAGGGTTTTACTGTTGTGAACAGACATCATGACCAAGGCAACTCTTATAAGGACAACATTTAATTGGGGCTGGCTTACAGGTTCAGAGGTTCAGTCCATTATCATCAAGGTGGGTGCATGGCAGCATCCAGGCAGGCATGGTGCAGGAGGAGCTGAGAGTTCTACATCATCATCTGAAGGCTGTTAGTGGAAGACTGACTTCGAGGCAGCTAGGATGAGAGTCACGCCCACAGTGACACACCTACGCCAACAAAGCCTACTCCAACAAAGCCATACCTCCTAATAGTGCCATTCCCTGAGCCGAGCATATACAAACCATCACAAATCATGAGTGTGGGCTTTGAGAACTTTCTGTTATCATCTACTTCATAATTACAGGTTCTACTGATAGTACTGATAGTACAGGTTCATACTGATAGCTGGGACAGTATGGATATCATCAGTATTTTCAAGTAGCATACATACCCTCAAATCAGGAGAAAAGTTGTCTGCAGAAGTTGAAATGGAATCTGATGATATAGCAGAAGCTGATTTGGTATGAACCGAGTTCTCTGAATGAGAAGTAGAAGCACTACAAAAGATTAAAAACACAGTATGTTTGAAAAATGTGGCTTTGCAGACCAAATTTAAATGTTTGATTTATAACTCCAATAGTTACTGCAAATTGCACTGTCAGCAAATTCTGGGTTGCCTCTTCAATGACTTCTAGTAAAACAGAAAAACTGCAGACTATGTTCTTTAAGAGTGAAATATGCTTACTACTCAAGTCTGAATATACTCTTCCAGTACTCAAAAACATAATTTGGAAGAACTACCTCCTTTTACCCATTCATCCATGCATTCATTTATTTATTCATCTAAAGGACATCCATGGAGAGGGGCTGGTGAGAAGGCTCAGCAAATTAAGGCCATTTGTGGCTGATGCAGCCATGAAATTTATGGGGAAGAGATCTGTTACAGCAATGGGAAACACAGATTAGCATTCATCCAACTTGAGAGACAAACCATAAAATAAAGGATATTCCTGATTAATGCATTATAAAATGTTACCAAGAAGAGTCTGAGACTGTACAAACTGTCCATAAACAAGACACAGCAGAGGCTAACTCTCCAACTTTATTTGGGGGAGCCACTGCTGAAAAAACACCAATGGCCTTCCTACTAAGATGGTTGACTCAGCAACCAGTTTGGATAGAGCAAAGGCCTATGACAAAAGAAAAATTACAGGCATTGGAACAGGAAGTCTAAGAGCAACTGGAGGGTCAACACATAGAAGAGTCCACCAGCTCTTGGAACTCTGCTGTATTTGTCGTTAAAAAGAAAGCAGTCAAATGGAGAAAGCTCATGGATCTAAATGCAATTAGTAAAATCATCCCAGCTTGGAATCTCATGGCCTTCCTTGTTACTCAAGGAATGGCCTATTAAATAGATTGATTTAAAAGATTGCTTTTTCACAATTCCTTTACAAGAACAAGAAGATAAAGATATGCCTTCACAGTGCCCACATTTAACCACTCTATGCCAACCAAAAAAGTACCACTGGAGTGCCTTGCACAAGAAATGTTAAAAAGTCATACCTTATGACAATAGTTGGTGCAAGAGCCATTAGAGATAATTTGTAAGTAGTTTCCTCAATCCATAATTACCATATGCATGATATCTTACTGGCTGATCCAGATAAAAATACCTTTGGAAAAATGTTTAATGAAATAAAGAAAAATTTGCCTTGCTGGGGATTACAAATTGCTCCTGAAAACAATACAAAGAGATTCTATTAATTTCCAAGGATGTAAAATAAGTCTATAAAAGATCTGACCACAGAAGGTACAAATCAGAAGAGACCAATTAAAGAACCCTTAATGATTTTCAAAAATTGTTGGGCGACATTAATTGGCTAAGGTCTACAAATGGATTAACTACTCAAGAGCTAACAACCTTACAAGGTGATAAAAGCTAAATAGTCCAAGAAAATTATCAGCTGAAGCTGAAAAAGCATTGGCTTTGATAAGAAATTACAAGATGAACATGTAGATCATCTTGATCCAAAGATGTTCTGTATCTTAGTAATTTTGCTTTCTACTCATTCTTCAACAGGAATTTTTATGTAGAGAGAAAATTATATCTTAAAATGTATATTTTTAGCACACAAACAGAATAAAAAATTAAAAACCTATATAGAAAAAGTTTCTGAATTGATTCTGAAATGAAAAATGAGACTTGGTCAATTACCTGGAATAGATCCAGCTGAGATTGTGGTACCTTTTACTAAGGTTGAGATTGTCATTATGGGCAGAAAATGAATGCTGGCAAAGAGCCTGCAATAATTTTAGAGGGAGAAATTAACAACAAATACCCAAAATGCAAGCAACTTCAATATATATAAAGAACTAATTGGCCCTTCCTTCATATAATAAAGGGATTCCAATTTCTAGAGCCCCTACATTTTATACTGATGCAAATATCAGAAAAAGCAGGCTATAGATCAGAAAGAAAGAAAAAAAAAAACAAGTGTCTCAGAGACCTTATGATTCAGTTCAACAGAGTAATATGAGTTCTTACAGTATTAACAGATTTTGCAGAATGTCTTAATATAATAACTGACTCACAATATGCACATACAGAAACTGCTGAACTTAGGATGATTCTGAATTAACTTCACTATTTATTCAACTACAAGTTATAAGAAATAGAAATCACCCATTGTATATGACACATATCAGATCACATATGGGTCTACCAGGGCCTCTAGCACAAAGTAATAATGAAATTGATCAACTATTAGTAGTTGCTAGAAGCTTAAGAATTTCATGAGAAATACCATGTTAATAGCAAAGGTTTAAAAAGGAGTTTTCTATCAATTGACAACAAGCCAAGGAAATTATAAGGAAATGTCCTACTTATTTATATAACAAAACTCTTATTACCTAAGGGAGTAACCCAAAAAGTACCCAAGGAACTTGGCAAATGGATGTGTTTCATTTTGCAGAGTTTGGAAAATTAAAGTATGTACACCATACCATAGATACATATTCAGGATTTCAATGGGCAACTGCTTTAAGTTCTGAAAAACTTGATTCAGTAATTACACATTTATTAGAAGTTGTGGCAACTATGGGAATGCCTATACAAGGACTGACAATGCTCCAGCATATGTCTCTAGTAAAATTAAACAACTGTTTACATATTATAATATAAAGCATATCACAGGTATACCACACAATCCAACAGGACAAGCAGCTGTGGAGAGAGCCAATTATACTTTAAAAGAGATGCCTAACAAAAAGAAGTAACAAGACTCCCCAGAGATAGATTATATAGTGCTTTATGGACTTAAAATTTTTTGAATGTGAGTGAACAAAAAGTAACAGCTGATGAGCGACACTGAATTATGGAAAAAACTGATGAAGTAAATCAGCCTGTTTATATTAAGGGAACGGAAGGCAGGAGATGTGTTATACTGGGGAAGGGGGTTTGTTCGTGTTTGTTTCTACAGGAAAAGCAAAGCTGTGGATTCCTTCCAAAGTGATAAAAATCAGATTTGACAGGGGGAGACTTCTGAAGATCTTATCTTGGCTGCAGACAGAAAGAAGGAAGTCAGAAAGATCAACAAAGCAAGTTACTTGTATTACTGATCCCTCTGCATGGGAACATTCTGAGAGTGGCTGAGACATGAAAATGTCTCCAGACAGAACTCCAGCTATGCACAGCCAATCTTGTTGGCTACAGAGTCCTCATGACTTATTATTACATGCCATCCTTGACTATACAGTCCAAACTAATTTATAAAGAAACACAGATGTGATGCCTTACCTGCTCAAACAGAGAGCAAAGAATTATCTTTGGCTGAACTGTACACACTGCACATTCCATACATATGTTAATGCAGAAATGTGTATTACCTGTCAGAGTTTGTGTTCACAGAGATAAAAAACCAAAATAGCAGCCCTGAAAAGATTCACCTCTAGGATGCTAGAAGGATGCTGAGACATATATATTCCAGCATCCTACTTCATCCTATCTCAGACTGCTTCAATAATGTTCCCTCAAAAATCTGCATCCAAGACAACTTCTATATTGCTGGTTAGATCATCCAACATTCCAGACTGTTCCAGTTAAACCCTGAACTTTCTCAACATACAGAAACTGGACAGCAAATGTTACAGCTAGCTTCCTTAAGACTGACCTACATTTCAATTTTTTTAGAAGTGGCATCAAAGTGAAAACAATGCCCCCAGTCACCAGAAAACAATTTTAAGAGAATGATGTCTCCATTCCCAAAAGGTGGGATGGATGTTTTTTGGTCGTTAAATAGAGGATGAATGTTTGTCACCATTTAAAGGAGTTGGATACAAGCTGTTAACAGTCTTAGTCAGGGAGGAAACAAAATGAAGGAGGTTAGATTCAGGGATTTTTTTTTCCTTTTTCTTCCCTCTATCCTTCTTTCTCTCCTATCTAGTGTTAGGGGGGAAAAGAGAAAGAAGAGATGAAAGAAAATGGGAAATATAGGAATAATAAGACAAAAGGGTAGATTATTGAATCTAATTTTATACCAAAGAACATCAAAAAGACAAATATCCTATATTGGTATAGATCTTTGTACACTGATACAAATTACGGTCATATTTGGTTAAATTGGTATAGAGCTTTTGTATATTGATACAAACTTAGGATCATATTTTGTTTGCTACAACATACTAAGGTACTGTACTTATTCAATTGATTTAAAAATGCAATGTAAAATTCTAGTCCTTGAAAACTGCTATTACAAACTGTTTAGGATATTTAACAAATGCAAATTAATAGTTCATCAATCTAACTTGTAGCCATGTTAGACATTAGTTAATTATAGAAATATGCTTCCTAGGTTGAACAGAGTGTAAATAGCTAAAAACAAACAATGTTTGCCTATTCAGATGTACTATACAGATAGTCTTCAAAACACTCAGAGATCCAAGGAATAACATTTAAAGATGTTTAATCATTAAAAGGCTTTTATCAAAATGAGACAGGTCTGCTCCTGGCAGCAACTCCATTCTACTTCAATGATGATGATGCACATTGAAGAACCTCCATAATAAAGTTTATCCAAAAGTGGCAAGCTAGCCACGGGGGGAAAAAACTGTCCTTGCTTCAACTGTACAAAATGGACAACAAAATACAGGAAAGTTGACTGCTGAGCTTTATCAAGACAAGGTAAGCAGTCCTTCATAATTCCTGCTCCACAAAAAGTCTGTCAGACACCTGGGCTGGAAGGATGAAGATGGATGCTCCGTCTACACAGAGAAATCTTGGGAGACTGTCCGGACAGTCAATTTTCTCTGTCATTTCTACAGTTTTGGAAGCTGTTTGTTCTACACTTCCTTAATATTCTGGTAATATTTATTCCTTCTCAGGTATCTGATGAGGTTGAAGACTAGATAGTTTTAATCTCACAAGTAAGCTTAACTTATTAGGATCTTTTCTTTCTTTCTTTTTTTTTTGTTTTTGTTTTGTTTTTCGAGACACGTTTTCTCTTTGTAGCCCTGGCTGTCCTGGAACTCACTCTGTAGACCAGGTTAGCCTCGAACTCTC